ACAGGAGAGAGAGGTTAACTATTGGTTAACTAAATAGTTAACCAATAGTTACAGACTTGGCACAGTAAACACTGGACAGACACATATTCTCATTTACACCAGGCTGACAAAACCAAGTGACACAACAGTCCTTTTGGGCCTCAAGGGTTAAGGACCTATTCAGCAACACTCTTTATTCTTTTACATGTAATTTTCAGGAGGAGGGAAGAAAAAAGCTGAGCTTTCCCAAAAGTACTATAAATATTAGCTCTCCTATCATCAACTTTTTATTTCTTGGGATATTTAAAAAAAAAAAAAGATTTATTTTTTTAAAGAACAGAACTGTGCTAAACATTTCCCAATTCTGCAAAAATTATGACTTACCTCCTTTTCTTTTGAGCAAGATTAAGTTCCAAAAATTTATACTTCTGATACTGCTCATCCAACTTCTTAAGAACTACATCTGCTGTCTCATTTCCAGGCTGTTTCATAAAAGAATCTACATCTTCCTTTAAGGGGAGAAAGAAACCCTCAGTGTTAGTAGACTTTTACAGAAATCCTAGACACAGACATGCTATCATCTTACTGCAGCTACCTCTAGAGGGGTTTTTATATGTACAACTTTTTTTCTGGGTGCAGTACAAAATGATTTAGTTTCCTTTCTCAGCCACCTTTTCACTTCCCCCTACCCTCCTTTTTTGGTAGGGAACTAAGGGATAGGTGCAAGGATAATTTCATAACCGTATCTGCTGGTACCTGGTTAGTGGTCCTTTCAGTCCTGGCCGATGTCAAATGACACAGGGATGGGTGTCCTGGGAGCAAAGCTAAACACGGCCTCTCCTTGCCTAATCAGATTATGAGCTCTTGAGGATAAAACTGAAGAAGGAAAAGAATCATGGCCTGATCAAGAATGTTGTGACAAAGACACCAAGGGGTGAACTGGAGTATCTGCTCAGGTAGGTGCTGTGACACTGAACAGCTTGGCTTAAGAAGCTCCTTCTGTAGTCAGGAGGAAGCCACAGAAACCTCCAGAGAACAACTCCAGCCAGTCCTACCATCAGCTGGAAAAGCTGCCAGAGAAGACAGGCCTGAGCCTGCCAAGGATGCTGGCCTTGGCATGCAGCTCCTTCAGGCTCCCAGGAAGCAGCTCATGTGCCTGGGGACAGTGTTCCCAGCCTCTGGAAGCTACATCAGGCCAGAGTGTTTCTAGCTTGCCAACATTCACCCATATACAACTCAAGATGACCCCACTCACCCACTGCAGTAATTCTGCCCTTATTTGTCTACATAGCTCAGTAAAACCCCACAGAAGCCCCACCACAGGCCTCTGCACCTTCTCCTTTTGAACTCAAGTGTCTCCATTCGAGACGTTTCACATCAGAACAAGACTGTAATACCTTACTAAAGTGATGCCAGATATGGAGCTGCTTCCCCTCATTTATGACTCCTAAGGCTGGAGTTGGAGTCACTCTTGGCTAAAGAAACTCACTGTGAAATTACTGAGTCTGCTAAGAAGTCCCCACCTTCCTTATCACGAAGGAAATCTGCAGCAGAAACACGAACTCCATCCCAGACTGCAAGCAGGGAGCACGGCCCAGGGGGCACATCTGAACTCAAGAGACCACACCCAGACTGCCCAAGGAATGCCTCGAGCTACCCCCCCACCAACAGACCAGGAAGCATTCCTGCTCCTGACAAAGCCTGGAGAGAAGTTCCAACAAAGAAAACAAGGGTTGTAGGAGTGAGGCCTGAGGATGTTGTGAAATGAAACTGCCTCTGGTGGAAGTGACTCTGCTGGTGTGAACCAGCCAAGGCAGAAAGCAAAGGCAGGTGGGCTCAGCTCCCCCAGCCCCCTGCCTGGCACCCCCCTGTGCCCCAGCTCAGTCTGCGTGCACAGACAGAACCCACATCCCCATGGAACAAAGATGCTGGAAGTGGATCCAGGCCCCCTGTAAACTGGTGATCTCCTCCCACTGCACCATGCCCCATCCAAGGTGAGCTCAGATTTACCCCCCAGGTTTTCCAGCTGGGGTTTCCAAGGCTGCTGGTCAGGCTTTGGACCCACCTTCCACCCTGCAAGGCCGAGGCTTGGTCACCTCCTGGAGCTTGAACAGGACAGCTCTGAGGCACAGCTGGGTGTCAGTGCCATCAGGATCCCTGCTTTGTGCTGTATCCTGCAGCATCTCAACCGCAGAATCACCTTACAGGTTCTGCAAGGACCAGCCAAAACTCATCCCCATCTTTTCAAGAACAAAACTCACTGGTGAAACACCCTGTTTTGTACTGTAGGTACAACACAGTCTTTGCAAACGTCAAGCCAAGGCCCAGGAATGCTCTGGGAGAGCCCTGAAGTGCAGCAGGACAGCACATTCCCACTCATCCCTGTGGTTACCCTCTGAGGGATGACCCACATAGAGCACTGCAGGCACTCCCTCTGCAGAGCTGTCAGCACCTGTGGGCATGTGCAGGGAACAGACAAGAGACACGTGTTTGCAGATTTGCATCCTCACCCCTGCTGAGAGAGGCAGAACAAAGAAGGCTTTTTGCTTGGAAACATCTGGGCTACAGCTCAAACCCACCAGAGGCACAAGTTCTATCTGGAGTGTTTCTCAGACTCCAGTAAAACACTGACTCAGGGCTTAACATCACTTGAAACCTGGAGGGGCACAAGAATTCACAGATGAGTGGCTCAGATGAGACATCAGCCATAAACTGTTTGAAGAGCTGCCACTGAACCAAGACACTCACAGAAAACACCTCTGAAGATTCACAGTCAAGCTGCCCGTGCAGGGTGTGGTGGGGGAAATGCCAAGCAAAGGATCAGAAAGTTTTTATCGCCATGACAGGATACAATGTTTTTGGAAGAGAAACCTGTGTTCTGAAAGGAAACAACGTGGAACCGAACACAGCAGCTGCAACAACAGCCACCAGCACAGGGTGAGGGATGGGACAGGTGCCCTCAAAGTGTTTCGGTATCTCCTGTTCCCTGCCAGGGTGGCTCCTCCACTGCAGAGCCAGCACAGAGCACAGTTTCTCCTCTGTCCATTGCTGGAAAACCTTAAGGGAAAGGGAGGATCTGGATGCACTGGGAGCAAGTGTCCTGTTTCCTGTGTTTGCTCAGGCCCCCACACAGGACAAGCACTACACCCTGGAAACCAAAATGCAAGTCAAGCCCATGCATTTCTGTAAAAGCAGTTGGATCTGATCAGTCCAAACAGCTCTGGTGAAGATGTAAGAGATCTGAGAAATGCAGATTTTCAAAGTCCAAGGACATCTCAGTAACAAAGCAGCACCAGGAACAGACCTCAACACTTCCAGGGCAGCCAGGGAAGGCCACCCTGATCAATACTCATTGATCAGATGAGACAAAGCAGCAATTAGGATGGAGCACCAAGAGCCTGTTCACAGCAGAACACGAACAGCAGACAACTGTGAGACTGTGTCACTGCATAAGCAACGATTCCTTCTTTTCAGCCACTCAAGAGAATCATCAAATGCTTGGTACATCAGTTTTTAGAGTTGGATGAACAAGTTCTGCCTGTTTGCTGAAAGACACGCGTTTGTTGGTTTTCAAGAAGGACACACGGTCCCTTCTGAAGGATGGATGTGCTCGGCAGTCACAGGCGGGACTGTGGGAGGCAGATGCGGGGAAGGTGCCCGGGGCACGGCCCTGCCCGAGGGGGCACAGGGGACACGGGGTGTGCCCGGTGAGGAGGGACCAGGGCAGTGACAGGGTGGCCCCTGAGCCGGGCCGTGCAAACACACCGTAACGCCCAACGCGGGGGCCGAGCTCCCCGTAAAGCTCATTCATGCTTAACAACACCAGGTCGGGAGCAAAACAAGAGAACGCCCAGGGCTGAGGCCATGAGGGGGCACCGCCCGCCCGCCCGCCAGGCCGCGACCCCGCCGAGGGGCCGCCTCACGGGGCCGGGGCCGCCTGGCGGCGCTCAGCCCGCGTCCCCCGGCCGCCCCGGGGCCGCCCGGTGCCCGCCCCCGCTCACCACGAAGGCCGCCTCGGGGATGCCGAGCGGGCCCCGCCGCCCGCCCTGCGCCGCCGCCCCGCCGCCTCCGGCCGCCGCCATCTTGGGAACCGCCGGCACGCGGCGGGCCCGACGTCACCGCGTCGGCGCCGCACGCGCGGCCCCGCCATTGGCCGCCGGGCTCGGATGGGCGCGCGGCGCCGGCGCGCGGGGTGGGCGGGGCCGAGCCCCGCAAAGGGCGGAGCCCATTGGGCGGCTGGGACAGGGGGCGGGGCCGGGGGGCGCGGGAGAGGGAGGAGGAGGAGATGGATGTGGATGTGGGGAGGGTCCTGCTCTTCATGGCTGGGTCCCAGGGCTGTCACACAACAGAATGAACTGTTAACTAGCCCAAGCTCACAACTGAGACCTCTGCAACCTCCTGAAACAGAAATACAACTATTAAAATTATAGTGGTCTTTAAGGCCGCTGCTTTTTGGTACTGAGACTTCGTACAGGGTCACACGAAGAGCTACCAAAACAACCCTTACACTTCCTCTGCTGTCGTGACTTTCAGGGTATGAAAATGGTGAGAAAGCCAAATATTGAACTGGGTGTTGGTTAAGACAGTCAGGACAGAGCCTGAGGTTACCCCTGTGCAGGTCTATTTGTTAGGTGTCCACACTTTGCACTAGATGAGGTTGCCTGGAGCCCCATCCACCCTGGCCTTGAACACTTCCAGGGATGGGGATCCAAGCTTCTCTGGCAACCTGTGCCAGTGCTTCACCACCCCCACAGGAAGAGTTTCTTCCCAGTATCTAATCTAACCCTGCCCTCTGTCAGTTGAAAGCCATTCTGCCCTGCCCATTGCTCAGTCCCAAGGCCCTCTCCAGCTCTCCCTGTAGGCAATGGAAGAGGCTCTAAGTTCTTCCTGGACCCTTCTCTTCTCCTGTGTAAATGCACAGGAGTAATGAGGCAATCAAGCACCCCTATCCAACCATTATCAGCATTACAGAAAGCCTTAAGCCCTCAAACACGTGAAAAAAATAATCACATACACACATCTTGCATGTGCCAAAGTTTATTTTTTTCCAAAACTTGTTTCATCAAATAATTGGATATGAGCAGTTTTTAAAAAACAAACAATTTGCGTATTAACAAATTGTGAAGTTCCACAATTAAAATATCAACACAGCCAGTCTTGTGCTTAGGCTTCTTTTTAAAAAAATTATTCATAGAACATAAACCCTCAAAAATTTTTTTCCAGTTTGTGGCTAGTATATTCCACACATTCTGTATTCTTATAAAATGAAGGAACTCACACAAAGGAACAGCTGTACAAGAATACATCTGAAAGAAAGCAACCTAAATTATCGCAGCTCCTTTTAAATAAATATCCAATAAAAGGCACAAACCTGTCATAGGGGAAAACATAACATACAAAACAAGACCTATCAAATAAATAAAGTGTGGGTTGGGGTGAGGGAAATCTGTTCCAGCACCTATTTTGTCATTTCTCCAAGATGAAATTCCGGCCAAAGATTTGATAAAGGATTAAACTTAACTACAAGGATACACATTTGAGATATACTGAAAGATCTGTCGTTACAATTCCTGTTGTAACTGGACCAGTCACTACAGTCTCTGTAAATAAACGAGCATGAGGATCTGCATAAGGTAGTGATGCAGTGATGTACAGATCAATGACAAGTCAGATACATCTTCAGAGTCATAGCAACAGGTTCTCTATTCCTACCTATCAGTAATGTATAAATGATAACATGTACAGTTTCCATTGCTCAAAAATATAATCTTTTAAATGGAAATAGATGACTGATACACAGTGCCCTTTAGATGCTGTCCTTACAATACAAACTACCCAAAACAAAAAGTTTTCCTTTTTATGTACAAATTAAGCACCGATCCACAGTGCATCACTATTCTAATTGTAACCCCCCCTCCCTGCCACACATCAAAAAACCCAGCTGGGGATAACACCCTGTATTCAGTCTTGCAGTCAGAAGTTTCATTGTTGTTACTTTTGTATGCGTGGTTTTTGCTGTTGGTTTGTTGTTGGTGGTGGTTTTTTAAACCAAAAGTCCATTTGTTGTTTTTACCTACAAATATTCCACCACTGTGCACAGAACTGAGATTTCTGTAGTACACATGTTCAAAATTGTTATTTAAAAAAAAAAAAATCAGTAACTTCTTGGAGGCAAAGTCAAGCTATATCTAGAGAACATTAGAAAACCCCAGTTATTGAAAAGGAGATACACGTTCAAGTCCAAGAGGCCTCACACAATCCACCTTTCCCATTCCCCCAGAAGTTATCCTATGTTGTATCCCATGAGGGACAGCCTGCCTGTAGCAGCACCAGCTCCCACCAGTGAGGCTCAAATGACCCACGACAGGACAATAATGCAAAGCCCACAGAGTACTTCGAGTCTTCCTCCTTGTAGAGGCAGACATGGAGAGACATCTCAGTTACCTGCTTTCTGAAGTGTTCACAACATGATCCTGACCAAACAAGCTGGAAGAAAAGTCACATTTCTACACATCTCTCTTCATTGCTTTACTCATCATAACTTCTATTTGCAGCTCCTTGGGCTGTTACAGTCACCCCTCAAGAACAACCTTGGTCTTCAAAGTGTTGTTGTCTTTTTTTTTTTTTCTGAGCCATAAAAGCCTTGACAGCATCCCAAGTCCTTGGTTTTCACTTCTTATGTATGAATTATGTTATTGAAACACATACTCTGCCATTTTATGCATTCCAATACATGCACGAGGAAGAGGTTGGCAAAACCCAGTCCTGTGCACTCGTGTGCAGAGAGAAGCAACCTTTGCTTCACAAGGATCAAACTAAACGCTGTGTTTCAAAGTATCAAACACTGTGAAGGAAACTAAAAAGAAGCTGGGTTATAAAGTTTTTAGAATGTACTTTGTGGCTGTTTCTCCTTTTTTAATACTAAATAAATTGGTATCAGACAGCTTTGCTACAAGAAAGCAGACCAAAGAACCATTAAAAAGATCCAGAACTAATCAGAAGTAGTGCAGACTATGACCTAGTACTAAATCCATTTCTGAGCCAAGTACATTCCAGATATTCAGAATGCTCTGCAATAAAGTTCTAACAAATATATACTGCTTGCCAGGCATTTATTTGCATATTTTATTAAAATAATGCATTATTACTTATACAACTCAGCACGAGAAGGAGACCTAACAGCTTACAGTGCATGGAACTGTCTGCTTGTGGTGCTCTCACCTCTGTCACTAATGCCCAGACATCTGTAACTACAGGTACTGGTTTGATTTGAACACAAGACTTTTCATTGCTGAATAAATCAATGGAATTCACTACTTCTTAAATAAACAGTCCCCTCAACACAATGACTTATTCCAAATGGCATCTATTCCCTTGTCATGTGGAGGGCAACTATAGGCACTGAAGAACTCATTGGCTTAAAATTGTACAATTGTTCAACCCAGTAAAGGTGGTTTAAAGCTTGAAGCCCTTTGTAATTCAAACTTGAACATTAAATTGCTGTATACTGGTCCAAATTCTTTTGAGAGTCAATACACATCAAGGAACTCTGAGTTTTAAATTTCTGCAAGGTTACATTTCCCAGGAAATCGGCAGTTACAGATTCCAAGGGCTGGGGAGTGGAGTTTTATTTTGCTTCTTTTATGTTATTTCATTTGGCAAAAATATTTCCATAGGGTTAAGAGAGACTACTTTTGCACTCTTTGGACAGAATTAAGCATTGGGAAAAAGAGAAGGCATGTCCCCACCTAGAGGAATGTGCTGTAATTTAGAAGTTCTCTACCAGAGAGTTTGACAAGATTTTCAGGCCTACCTGCATTTATGGTGAGAGTCAAGAGATATTTCTGCAATTACAGACTCCCCAAAAGATAAAACACTTACTACTCTGGAGGTCTATTTATTGTAACAATAGAAAACTATTCCTTTTTGGAAAACTCAGCTTTAATATTAAACATTAGGAGAAGTAATTTTTATGGGAGAGCTTTTCATTGTGTTCTGCCGTGAAACTTCTGGAGGAAAGGTTGTTCCCAGTTCCATCTATTTATTACAACTATTGGGTTTTTTAATGCTATCACTTTTTATCAGACAGTTAAAAATACAAGATAAGGCATTTTCATAGCCAATTTCAGTTCTGGAGGAAGATTTTTTTAATACAAAAGATGTACCAGAAGTCTGTACACATCTGACCCATTGTGAACAGCAATAACTCATAAATTAGTTGATTTAAAAGATTTTCCTCTCAAAAAGAGTCTGCATTTAACATAGCATTTGAACCTTGAAATTACTACAGAAGAAAAAAGATTACTGCAGCATCAAAGAAACGATTATCTAAAAGTTTGCACATATTTACACATTTAAAAATAATTACTTCTATATGGTTTACAACTAGGTTCTTATTTCAAAAAAAGCAGCACAAGCTATTCTCTACAGTTGGAAAATTTCCATATAGTTGCCAGTTCACAAGAGTCAGCATGACTGCAAGGTTTGAGTCTTTTGACCTAATGGACTTTAAAAAGAAAAACTGGATCTCTTGTCTCGATTGCACTTGGCAACAGGATTTAGAAATTGCTCCCATGTGCTGAGGCTGGGGACACCACAGCCACTGGCTCCCAAAGCTACTCTTCCTTGAAGGATGAAAGATGCCACCTGCAGAGAAGGTACCTGATGGAAGTGCAGCTCCTGTCACCTCTTGCAGGCTGCAAGTGCTGTTCTGTCACACACTTGTTTTATCTCCTCCACCACAGACTTGCACCCCCTATCAGAGCCCGGCTCTTTTAACTCCCACTGGAGCACTGATATACCATGGGAGCAATTTATTATTTTTACTATATATATATATATGTAATAAGTATGTGTCTTGTTGATTCACAGCATTTCAAACTCACATTATAAAGTTTGCAAATTACTATAAGCTACTCTAATGTGAAAAAGCTGTCTGATTTCACAGAATATTGGCCTTATGATAATGCAAGCATTGCTCTGTCAGAGTATTTATTAGAGCACATAAAAATTTTATTGCTCGACTTGATTTGTGTTGTGTCTTGGTTACAACAGCCACAGAATTTATGGAGAAAATAAATAGCTTTGACATCCTCAGTTGATTCCCAAGGTCATCCACTGATGATTAAGGTTGTAGAGCAATCATGTAACCTTCTCTTCGGCTTTGAAGATGATAATCCAGCTTGCACCTTCTGAGTCAACCTCAAAAATACAGTTTTCTGCTGAGCAGTTAAAAAAAAAAAATTCAGGGAACAAACATGACTTCACGCTGCAGTGACTGTTATAAACAAGAATCTCTAAAGCATTGCAATTCAAAATAATATTGTATTATACAGGGGAAAAAAACAGTTGCCCTGTTCAGAAATATATCATGGAAAGATTGCAATTGAGTCTTTTCATTTTTTTTACCAGTATTTGGTTGTTCTCACATCTTGTTGCTTTGGTGGCTCTACATAAACTGTATCTGTGAAGCAGAGACAACATATTAATGCCACTTAAATAACACAGGGTTTCTCAGTGTTTTAGAATTATGAATCTATTCCACTGCCTTGTTACTTACAAGTTAAGTCCCTAGGCTTTGGCACTTTAAAACACCCCCAAAAAACATTACGACCAACATATCTGGATGACAGGAATACACAGTTTCTCCAGCTTGAATGACCTCTGTTCATGCCTTTCTCACTCCCCCATCCTTCAGGAAGCTTTCAACATTGCTCTAGTCAGTATGACTAAACCAAGTATCCAGCTGATGTCATAGGAAGTCCGAAACCTACACATCTTCACCACTCCCACTTTCTTAATATTGACACAGTGAGAGACAAACCACTAAATCTCTCATTTTTAATTTCTTCCTTGCTTCCTGCAATTGTGTGATCTCCCATCTGAATTTGTCTCCTGACCATCAAAAGCTGCTGAGGAACCTCCCACTTTCACAGAATTGCACCAGTAGCTCTTCATGAAGCATTTGGTTGCTTTTACCAAGACTGAAGTCTCAAAGTCCTCCCAAGATTAAAGAACCCTGTTCACCTGAGTTTCAGAAACAGGTGCAAAAGGATTTGTTGGCCGCAGACCAGGCTGTGTATACATCATTGACTGGGGTGCCATCAAAGGAGCAGCTCCAACCTGAGGAGGTACCTGTTGGAAAAACAAAACCCCCACAAGACAAATATATAAAATTCAAACTAGTTCCACAAGATACGTCTTTTTGCATTTAAGTAGAGTAGAAAATAAGCATATAGAAACACATACAGAGTAAAGTCCAAGCTTTTAAAAAAACTGCCATATAAAATTTAGAGTAATCTCTTTCAATGCAGGGTGTGAAAAAGCTATCAGATTTCAAACAGTATTGTCAATATACTGAAGCTGCAGAATGATTTGAACATAATAAGGCATGCCATGAAACCCACTGGAGGAGACAACTTTCAGGAATACAAAACAATCACATTTCTTACCATTCCATATACAGGCACTTGAGGTGTGGTCAATGGGTATGTGATAGGAGCAGGTACCTTCAATTAAGAAAATGTTGAACATTTTAGAGAAAAACTCATGCATACTAGCAATACATATAAAACTTTGAAAAAGACATTTTTCAGTACTTAAAATAACCAACATATTTACAAGAAATCGACTTACATATCCAGGATAATGTACTCCATTCTGGCACAGCAAAAGGATAAGATAGAAGATTATTTAATAGGTATTCAAACTGGAAATTCTAACCAAGGGATGGATTCAAGTCCAGCACCACAATAGTTTGCAACTATGCTCAACTCATTCATTAAAACAATCAAAGTGGGAGGAAAAAGTGCAAGAACAGTAACAGCAGTAACTATGCTTAGAAAGCTACCATTGATATGACTTACAGAAAAATCAGAAGTTTTACCACACCTAGCCAGATCTGAATATATTGCTTGCACAAGCACGTGTGTGAGAAGCTTTTAGGGGGCACAGCATGAAATATTCCTTCTTCCTCCCACTATGTGAGAAGGGCATAGTAAAAAAAACAAGGAAGGCTGTGACTATTTGGTTTAAAAAGCAAATAGCAACAGATGTTCAGTCATGTGAATGTTGCTCCATACCAACATCTGATGTCTGCAACATATCACAATATTGAAGAATTAAAAATGAAGAGCATCTTAAGCCAGATATACCTGATATCAGGTTATGTTCACAGGCACAGTGGTGCATGCACTTCATATTGCCACACTTTGTTAAACAGCACTAATTATACTGGAAATTAAAGTGCTAAATAAAACACTTGGCTATGCAATGGTAAGCAGGTGATAGGTGAATTGGAGGGTTAGCACCCTGAGTGCCACAGGCCGAGCCAGGACCAGGGCACAGATTCTAAAGGTGCTCATAGCTGAGCTAGATCTGTGCATCACCACCTGCTGGAGTTCCACGTAAATGCGTGAACAGGCACCTGGCACAAAACACCCAAATAAATGCTTAGACCAGAAAGTAATAAACATGAACACAGGAAATAAAACCACAAAGCCCAAATCCACGCTGCATCAGCAATCTAAGAATACGTTCTAGAGCATCAAGAGGGGTTAAAGAGATGGTGTGGTCTCAAAAAACCTCACATGAAAGTGCCATACAACTGAGACACCCAATCATCTAAATTTTTTAGTCTCATTTTTGAGTCCAAAACTGGATGTAATCTTCTACTCAACTTTGCTAATTCTGAATGAGCATAGTCATGTAAGACGAGGGAAACAGGCATTAGAGGTTAGCTATTCCTACTGCAAAATGCAGTCAGACAGCAGTCCAAAATTCATAGCAAATGTGGTAATTACCCTAGTTGTACATGGAACTGAGATCTGTATGAATACAGGACACTTGGAAAATCTCTTTTAAAAGCACAAGAAAAGTCAGCTGCCTACAAGTACCCCTCCAAGAACTGAAAATTTTTCATTTAAATAACTGTTAAAGATCCACTCAGCATTTTGTACTGTGTTAAAAACACGAAGCTGCTGTTGAGCATTATCAAAAGTCCAAAGTGCTGCCTGACTTGAAGATTAAGGTGCCTTACAGGGGTTGCAGCAGGTTTCATGTGATAAAACTGAAAAAGGAGCAAAAACTGGAAGGAACAGCAGTTTTGCCCTTAAAACACATTCCTAGGATGTGTATCTGTGCACATGTGCCTGGGAAGGGGAGAGGGAGCACCTCAAACATGCACATCAGGAATTTCTGGATTGGGATAATTGTTTTCAATCCAGAAAGAACTTACAAACTGAAATAGATAATCAGCCTTCCATTTGAGACATAAATCTTTAATGGACAAGTTTTACAATGAGGGGACATAGAGCATACTAAAATCTCTATTTAATTCAGTATGATTCTATGATCCTACCAGCACTCCCCCCTGCTCCCAGTCTTGCCCCAAATGCCTTGGCTGTTCTTTTTAGGTTATTTTGAGCAGGGAAGCAACATTTGCTAGAATGAGGTGTGATTTCATAGTACAGAAATTACCATGTGTGGAATGGTGGGTAGGGGAGTCGGGTTCCACGTGGTTGATGTGCTTGTTTTTGCTTGCCAGTTAGTTCCACCAGTAAGTTTTTTCTCTGTGGGCTGGGACCACTGCATGTCTGACCTAAAATGAAATTGTGGCATTAGTTTTTACAGGGGGCAACAGCAAGAGTAACAATAACATAACAGGAAACCAAAATATGCTTAAATACATGTACACAGCTGAAATCTATGGGTGGAAGAAACAGTCAAGATTTCAGCAACTACTTATGTATCTCTGCTCCATTAAGTATGAGGTCTGGGGGTTCTGCTTGTGTTACAAGTAAACTATCATTACTGCACTGTACAGCACAGTGGTTAACTGGAGTTTGATGCAACTGCAAGATCTTTCACGATGCTTCATAGAAATACAGCAATTGCAAAACTCAAGTGAACTACTTCAAAAATTAAGGTTGACTGTGTTATGGTGACTGAGCACAAACACACTGTTTCAATGCAGTTCTTGATTATTTCAAATTATTTCAACAGCTGAGACTCTTGTCATGTCAGTGCTGGTAAACTGTGCCAGAGTCTACCAAACAGTCATGTGAGAAGACTCTAAGAACATACACGCACTTACTTTTTGGATGGAGTTCCTCCAAAGCCAAGATCTGTGGGGGAAAAGAAACAGACAAAATCCTTAAGCATTTTGAATTTGAAGGGAAAAGCTTGTTTTGCTTTCAGTAACAAATAGGAAAGTTAATTTTAAAAGATTCACACTTTTAAAAGATTCACACTTACTTCCTACTAGATTAGCAAGTGAAGAATCGAGGTCATTTGCCAAAATTTTTCCACTTTGCTGGCTGGCTCCAGTGGCTCTTTGACTTTGTGGTGGTACTGTGGGTTGCAACACATCATCTAGAAAGGTAAAAGCTAAACCAAGAACACAAAAGGAACTGTTAATAAAATGGTTACACTGCGTTTAATAAAAGACATCCATAATCCAGGGAGATATTTTCTTTACAGAACACTAAGTAATTAGAGTATTTTTATGTGGAGGTTCAACATGCTGCAAGTGTCTAAGACTTGGACAGAAGCAGAGTTTAACCTCTTTGTTTTTTATTAATATTGTAGCTACTAATCTAGTAAAATCTTTAATTGCACTTCAACAGACATTAATGGTATTTTCAAATTAAGATGAATCTCCTCTAAAAGTGCAAAAGAAATGGGGTTGTTAGTGTCAGCATAGGGGTACTTCCATGATCCAGTATCCTGAATGTACACAAGAGCTCCTCTGCTGTACAGAAGAGCAAGATTGTAACTCAGATATTCTTCAAGCAACACACCCCCTAGTTTTGCATTTCTGTCAGTGGAGTCACAGGGAATTCATTATCATGTAGCAAGAGAAAACACAAGTCCTAAGCACTGAAAACAAATGAACACATGAGCTTACCCGTTAAGGGAGATCCAGTGGGCCACGTTCAAAGTTCGCTCCCCCAGAAAGAGAGGAAACCATTATTACACAATGGGTGAAATTAATCACGAGCTAATTTGAAAGTAAATAACTACAACTGAACTGATTGCCTCTTATCAGGCTCATTATCACCTTGCAAATATATTAAGTTATTAAATTCTGAACTGCAATAGCAATTATGCTAAGTTGTTAAGCAACTGGTGCCTGTAGGGTATAAATTAGTCATAAGGCAGTTTTTACCACTTGCAGTCCTGTACTCTGGTGCTGAAGATTTTCCTCCAAAAACAGCATCAAAGTCCACATTAATTGATGAAGAGGTGGTACTTGGAGGAGCTGAATGAAGAGGGAAACCTGAAAAAAAGAGTTGAGTAATGAAATACACCCCTGAAGTAATACCACTAAATACAGTGAAAAAGCAAAAAAATCAAATTACCATCAACAGTCAGAGGATGATACACAGAAGCATATGTAGGTTTATGACTACTAAAGTCATCTTTGTAAAAAGAGAGAAGAAAATAAGATCAGTTTTAAAGAGAAAAAGGAAGAGGAGACCCAAGTTAAAAATCAAAAAATTTTAAATATTATAAAAAGATTTTTTTATTTTACAGATTTGAAGAGCCAAGTAACTCCTGCATTCCCCATTACAAAAGAAAAGGAAGTTGTAGTTTGAAAGAAATCTGCAAAAATTCCAGCACCACTGCAAGTCTCAGGATATCTATGTTGGGCAAGCTAAACAAAATAATAATTTATTTCAACTATAGAAATAAAACTTTAGGAAACATATAATTTACTATGCTTGGAATTAATGCACTGTTTTCACTTCTTAACCAAAAGTGAAAACTGGCCCAAACCACAAAAAGATGACATGGCCCACTTTATCAGCATTATTATTATCTCCAGTTGCAAATAAATGACATGGGGTTTGTTTGGTTTTTTACCACTAAACAGTTCCACCGTTTGTTTGGAGGAAAAAGAAGAATTGATGAAAGGGGTGGCAGATTTTACAGCTTCTTCAACTGGCTTCATGTCAAAGATGTCCAGATGAGGTGGAGAACCAACACAACCATTTGAAGACGAGAAAGGACCTTTCAGATGCAGAAGTGAAGGAAAGAATACAGAGTACAAATAATGGAAAAGAAAAACAGACTGAAATGACTGAATATGAGAAATCTCTAGACAAAGTTAAGTTGTCAATATTCCACCTTGTGATCAGCTCATTTAGATACAAATTCTTAAGTTTCAGATAAAAATCCTAATAGTCCTCTCTATTTAGGAAAACTAGTTCTAGTATTATCACTGGGGGGAAGAAGAGAATGACAGTACATTTATCAATCAAAGAAGTCAGATACTACATTTTTGGCTTCAGTAATCTATCTTTTAAATAGCATACAAGGGTATCAATTCCACCTATTAAAATACCAACATTTACCATGGTGTTAACATTGTCTTCTTTAGTCATTTGAGCCATTTTTTTGACATTTGATCATTCTTTGGAAGGATGGGTGAGGGTACAGAGAATGCTGTGCCCAAGAAACTAGGATACACAGTTTAATTATGAGAACTTTGAAGTTAGCAGTACCTTTTAAAGGAAAAGTATATTAAATATTGCTTAATAACATGGAAATAACTATCCAGCATCTTTTCAGTTACATTTGCTTAGTTTATATTTCCCAGCAATTTTAAACTTTGACTTTTAGTTACCAGTTCTTCTACCCTTTACTGAAGGGCTCCTTCTTTCCATCTACTGGACATCAACACTACTGCTACATGTTAAAGAAAGTTTGCCAGAGCTTTCAGATGATTTCTTTTATATTTTGTCAAGAATAGAAATGTTTGGATGCAAAGTAATTAATGTTTAAGATGCAGATTCAATTAAGTATTGAACCTGTATCTTCTTCCTGTATTCTAAGAAGTCACCCATCATTTAGACAGTCAAATCAAGGTATGAGCTCACCTCCCCAAGCACTGCTTGCTGATGTTGAGATAGCTGGAGTACTCTGCACAGTTGGAACAAATGCAGGCTGAAGATCAAAAAGATCACTAGAAAGGTTGGGCATGCTGAATAAGAAATGAGAGAGAGAAATATGAAGATATGTACCAGGCATTGTATTCTTGTGTGTTATATGAACACTCACACCAATCTCATTTTCTCTTATTCACTAATAGCCCATCAATAACAGTGGTACAAAACCTTGTAATTTAGCATTTCCTGACTGATACCAAAATTCCTGTGGGTACACAAAGAAGGCATCAGCAAAAGGTACTTGAGAAGTAACTGACATTGGTGCTTTACAGTGACTGTGGAGTTGCAGGGCACTGCAGTAATTTCTGCTTCCTGCAGAAACTAAAGTATCTCTCACCTATTTGTTGTGGGTGCTGGTGCAGCAAAGAGGTCAACAGCTACAGTGGTATTCACACTTTTTCCTGATAAAGTGCTTGGGGATGCTGATGTGGAAGTGGAATTTGACACTACAGAAATCTCTCTTAATCGCTGCTCCTGAAAGATGAGATAGTTAGAATTTTAGTCTTATTAATTTATTAATCATTCAGTCCTAAACACCTTTTCCAAGAAGAAATTTTAATTATGGTCTTAATAAATAAAAATTATTCTTCTGTAAAGTTATTCTTCTGAAAACATAAAAGTAATTGAAATCAGGTGAGATTCCAAGGTGAGGCATGATGTTTTAAATAATTAATTTTTAAGTTATCCACAACTGCCTAGAAGAAAAGCTACTTCTAGTCAAGCTACAGTCTAGACTTCCTTCACAGCCACTCAGAGAAACAGGCCAATGGACCTTTGCTCAGGAAGATGCATCCCCTACTTTATGGATCTTCATAGTTCAATTCAGACATTCAGAAATCAGAGTGACAATGCACATCCCACTGAGATCCAGGTGGTGTTGCTCTTAAGCTGGCAACAGAAAAATCCTGTTTATATTAATTTCAGGTTTACATCCCTCATTACTCCAGATATGCCCACTGCATTTATATAGCAGAGGTCTATGTTATACACAGCTGATGCTCCTCACTGAGTGGCCTTGCAAGCTTCCCCACCTCTTTTAAGCTCATCTTGGTTTTCACCTGTATCCAGTTACGAAAAAAAAATCTTGGAAAACTTGTTGAAAACATGGTACCTTCAGTGCCTGCAGTCTAACTTGCTCCTCCTCCAATGCCTGCTGCTTTTCTTTCTCATCCATCCTGCTGAATGACATTCCTGTATTGGCAAGTGAGGAAACAGCACTGGATAGGGCACTAGCTCTAAAAAAGGTAATAATTAAAAAAAAAAAAAAAAGTTGTTAAAAAAACTACAGTCAGGTCTACATCCCTTACAGTTTAATGAGCAAATGCCTTCCCTGGCTGTGTGCCATTTCCCCCCCAACTCACTTCTTCCTTTACTCTCTGGTACAAAAAAGCCCAACAAGAGGATTTGGTGACAAAACAGTATGAGTATACAAAATCAATCTCTCAAAGTTCCAGTGGGTTGCAGCTGGAAAATGTGGAACATACCAGTTGTCTTTTTTTCTTTAAAGTCACCTAGACTAGACTGGAATGTTATTCAAATGGCAGAGGCACAGAAAGCTTGTTTGTACATTATATAACAGCAGTCAAAGCACAAGAGTTAGTCCCTATTTAGTGCACACAAACAGAATCCTGTGGCAGCAACTCCTCAAATTTTTGAGCAAAAAAAAAATATCTGAGGAGAACACAACTCAGGAATGTAGCTCACACTGATACATTTATCAATATTTACCAAGTTGCTGTGTGAGAATGTCTGTGCCAAAAGAGATCTCTCACTCTTCAGTCAGAAGTACTGTTCATACAATACTGATACCATACTTGACAGAAAGAATAATGTAATTCCTGTCAGCACACAACATCTAAGCTAATTTGGCTGTTCTGAGAAGGGACTGAAGAGTCTTGCAGACATACCTAGATTTCAAACATGGTTAAGCTATCAGACTGTTACTCACAAGATGCTTCATTTATATTTCTATGAAGAGACATTCAGAAGTGAATAAAATTCAAGAATACCAAGTGTCCGAATCCTGACACTTCTTAGAATAACAATGACAGATATTAAGTACTGGCACTGCTGTAATTCGTTGGGTGCTCACCTGCTGGCAGCAGAGACTTCTTTTGTTTTCTTTCCCTCCACAGAAGCCAAATGCTGTTCCAGTGCCTCAAGCAAGCTACTGGGTGCCTAAAATTAAAAGTATTTATAAAACATTGCTTCTAATCAACACATCATCGTTTAGCACACAGATGAGTTTTCTCATCCACGAAAAACAAACAAAAACTCACACATTGATAATTGTGCCTTTGGGTTTTGCTGCCAACCTGCACACCCAGATCCTACCCACTCAGGAGTGGTTCTTTAAAAGCAGTGGGACCACAGAGACATGAAGGAAGGATTTCCCCAGAGTGGGTTTGCTTCTGCATCTGCAAGTTGCATCCTTGGTTTTGGCAACAGCATTTGCTATGTTAAGATTAACTGAATAATCACAGCTGATTAAGCAGTACTCCCCTAAACTCACAGAAGTCCCAAAACAAAGACTTGGCACTTCTGATCTCCTTTCTCATGTAACAACAAAAAGCCACTCATTCTTCATTCCAGTATTTACAGTCAAAGGCTTGTAGTAAAAACACTTGACTACAGCAGGATGTTGGGTTTGATAAAATAAAGAATCAAATTCAACCTGATCCCAACAACACTACTGCAGACTGAGCAGCTGTTCAATGTGTCACTGTACAATAAACCAACTCCATTACTCCACGTGAAATAAATCCTACTGCAGGTTCAGATGAAAGGAATGGAGCTCTCAAGTTTTAATCTACTTGCCAGCTCAGTCCTCCTCACCTGGCAGGGTTTCAGAGACATTAAAGCCTCTCCTTACCCCCTGCCAACTTTCAGTAGGTAAAACAGATATGACAGGCATTGTTTGGAGGAAAAACAAGCTTGCCCTTGTGTAGCCCTTATGTACCAAAAGGCATTTCCTGGAAAGAGGAAAAATATTATTTACACAAGGCTTTGGCAACCTCCCCTTTGAAATACTGAGCACAGTTCTAGATTCTCACATTCACTGAAGGCCAATTTAAGCTAGATGAATCAAGAGATGGAGGGGGAAAAAAAAGTACTTAGAATAATCCTATAAAACTTCTTGTCTTAAAATTAAGGTCTGAGCTTGTATTTAAGTAGAGCCAGGTAAGCTAAAACAGTGTAGCTACTTCAACAACAGGTCATGAATAAATTTGGTATTCGACCTAGACAGCTAAACCCCAAGGGGGACATTTTGAAACACCCTTCTGGAAAGGTATGAGGGACCAAAAAAACCCCACACCTTTCAGGAGGCACAATATCAATGTAGTTGCGTCATGCAATGCCTTTTGCAAACTAATCTTAATAACAGAAGCCTGTGCCCTAATTCCAGAAAGCTTTCCCTAGTCTTTTTTTGATCCCAAGGCCACTCTAAAACTTATTTGTATGGAAAAGCATATTCTGTATTTACTATTTCTAAAACCCTCTAAAACAACCCCCTCAACCACAAGAACTAAACCCAACAAACCTCCTCTGAACTTTCTTATTGCTGCACACATCCAACAAAACATCGAATTTTGAGTGAACAGAGTAGTTTTACGTCAGAAAAGATGCCTGGGCTAATACAGACACTATGACTTGAGAAAGGCTGTATTTCAGGATTCAGCCTCCCTCCCCACACACAAAGACATCTGACAGACTAACATCCATACAGAGGAAAATGATCCAGTTACAGTCATGAAAAACAGAAAGCAAGCAACATCACTGTGAAACAGAGCATCTACAAAGGAAAATATTTTCTTTACAGGAACAAGCAAAATGGCAGTATTAAGAAATTCTAGCAAATCCTTTTAATGTGGCACTAAATGGATGTACAATTACTTAACTCACGTTAAATGCCATGACATTTTCTATGTAAGTGGAAGGCTTAACAGTGGCACTGAAATTGCCAAAATACATAGGATGCTGATGTCTACCACCAGTTCAAAGTTGCCTTTCTTGTGTAAGTACATTTATAAAAAAACAGCTGAGCTATTAGGAATAAAATGTTGTGGAAACAATAGAGACTGAGGATTTTCTCACTGAAAGTTTTGGATGAAAAAGCAGCAACATGAAGTTAAATCCCCTTATTCTCAGTAAATTAAAAAAACCCCACCTGCTTTCAAGAGCCTTCTAATGACCCAATTAAGTAGACAAGGGCACACAAACCCAGTGAGGTATAAATAACTTCAGACTTGAGTATAATGTGATTAGCATAATACAGACCAGCTGAATACTGCACTACTAATCAACAGACAAAAATAAGATGCTAACATCAAACATCAACAGAAAACACCAAACTACTGTTTTCACTCACTACCTGCTCTTACTCTGATGGTTACAGTCATATTTCTTTCCTACCACAAAGGCCTAGAAGTTCTTAGAGGGATTAATATAAATTGCTAGGAGCAAACGTTAGAGATTTGTACTTTGAAGCATGTATGGTTTCAGATGGAAATCATATGTAGGCAGTAATGAATACCACTGACAATGGAAGCTTGTGGTTTAGATTTGATTTCCATATTAAAAAGACACTGAAGTTTAGGCAAATCTTCACACTACATACATTTTTACATGATTAACCCACAAAAGTTAATTTCACCAAGGTAGTGCAGGACTAGATGTGACTGTTCAAAGCTCACACATTAAATTTTTACTGTTTCTCAGTGACTCCACTTAAACAGCTCGAGTACTCTGGAGCTCTAAGACACCCCAGTGTCCTGGCAGGTGGCTGTTTATTCCACCCATCAGGTTACTCTGCACTACAGAAACATCAACAAACACCTCTGTGCTGTTGGGTTGGCCCTGTGTGAGAAATACATCACCCCTGTGAGCTGAGGGAACTGACAAAGAATACCTTGATTCGTTTCTGTGGACTATCAGTGTTTCCCATCTCCAGGTCACACCATCTTTTTCACCTCCCTTCTGCCCTTCGGTTTACCCTCACTGGAAGGTGTTTCCCTGCACTCCACCTTTCAGAGTAAATTTTCCAGCACACAACGTGCACCATGCATGCCCCTCATACCACTGAGTGCTACTGAAGCTGGAATTGAGTGCTGATATAGAAACATCCAATTTATTCAGACCTCGGGGGACAGAAAAAACCCTTGGCTGAACTAACTCACTGTAATCTTTGAGTGTGTTGGAAGACATTAAGTTACAGTGAAATGGAAGGTTTTTCTCTAGGCATGGCAAGATGCTTGTGGCTTACCTTGCCAGGGATCCTCTGTGGGAAAAAAAACAGAAGTACTTGAAAAATACTTTCTGTGAGTTTTACTGCTTTAAACAATCAAAAATAAGCTTATTAAGAGCTTCAAAGCTTAAGTATTGAGTACATTTAATGCATGGTAAAAGTTACCATCCTCATTTCCCATATATAAATACATAGAAGGGAATACAGTCTCAAGAAGAATCATTACTATGACACACACCAACCTTTAAAAACACAAAGAACAAAAGAGTTGGGTTAATCAATATACTATGTACACTGACCTGAGTAAGATCTGGAATGTCACCCTGATCAATTCCAACTTGCTGGGTTTACAAAAAATGAAGAAAAAAAAGTACATTAATACATGCAGTAGCAGTGAAAATAAAACCCAGCAATATCTCAATGTTACGTAGAAACTAACATTTAAAAAGGGATATTCATAACTTTCTGAACTGGTACAAGTTCTACTAGGAACACATCTTAGAAATCACAAGTGCATTAAAAGCTGCATCTCAAGGCAAATCCAACTTTTCATCCTGCCTGACTTTCATGCAGAAAATACTACTGGGGTCATTAGAAACACCCACATTGCTCACTGCAACTCCATTTTTTAGCAGTTACATTAAAGGAGAGCACTGTAAATAGGCTGTAACACTAAGTCTATACATTTTGGACCATTCATAAAATTTGTACCAACACTTCAGGAAAATTTACTATGTTCTCTGTCTAATAAGAAAAAGGATACCCAAGAATCTCATCCCATGCTAATGAGTGTATACAATCTTTAAAACACCTAATCTGTAGAATACTTCACTGTACAGCAAACAATCTCTGTGCAGTTGTTTTTATGAATACTGATACTGTACCAGAACAGACAGCTAAATCAGATCCTTTCCACAGATGTAGATTTATTTACCTCTGCTACTTTGAGGAATTCTGACAATTTGGTCATTCTGGCTAGAAATTTTTTGTAAATATCCAAGCCTTCTTTGCACTGGTTCTTCTTCATATCAAAATATCTTTCTGAGGATGCAAATAAAACTCTTGTAAGATAACACCCACCCCAGCAAAAAGCTGACACAGTATTATAAAAGTTAATTTGAGACAAGCTTCAGGTAGAGAATAGACAGGATTAACTCAAAACTATTCGGATTTTAAAGTTTACCTGAATACCTGACACCTTTTGTACTAAGTCAATCAACACAAAACCACTGACTTTTCTGTTTCAGACTATTAAACTATAATGCAAAGCTTTATTAAGCATGGATTTGAATCACTGCAAATTGTTAAAGTAGGTATTATAGTAAATATTCTAAAAAGTCAGCTTATTAGCTGGCAATGAGGCAAATGATATTAGCATTTGAAAATATTCCTGGTATATATTTATATTTTTAGATGCTATATCAATACATTTTGATGTCTCTAGATGGGCCTAAAATCCAAAAGGTATTAGAATGGCCACTGAAGTGATTACACATATACTGAACTGACCTACCAAAAGGAGCAAACACATCTTTCATTTTTTATGGTTTTGTTCTGTATACTTTAAAAACCATCTATATTCTTTAATTTTCTCAATACCTTCACAAGTTCAAAAGCTAAAAAAATTCTCACATACCTAAAAGATTAATAATCCCTTCATTGTATGCTGCAAAAAGTCTAATGGAATCTTTAAAGAGGAGCATAAAGGCAGCATTTATAACACCATTTGTTAGTTCATTTGGATTTGCCTGTGTAGAAAGCAATGAGAAAGTAAATTAGTATTTAACAAAACAACCAAACTCTCACTTCAAAATGAGAGTGTTTTACGTAACACTGAGTTTAAAGTACTTGCATCAAAATCAAGGAGTGCATCGAGCTGGTTCTGTATGATTGGAAGGGTTTTCAGAAGCTTTTCAGGATTCATGGTTCTCATCACTCCATCTATCCTACAGAGGAAAAGACACAGATCTACAAGTCACAAAGAGACCTCAGCACATTATGCTGTTTCAACAATACAATATTGCTTCAAAGGGTCAAAAGAACACCTTTCTGTGACAAGCTCAACAACAACTGGCTCCCAGCCCCTGCAATAGGAAACATCTGGCAAAAGAAGAAGTATCAGTCTTACCCTCTTTTCATTTTGGTGAAGTCAACTGCTACAAGTCTATATGAAAGTGCTTTTTCATTCAAGTATCTGCTGTATCGCCTAATGAAGGTAGACATGTCATAGCCTAAAAGTTAAGCATTTACAAATTAGACATTTTAAAGGGGTACAGTTCATTGTACGGTTCTTTTCAAGAACTAGCCTCCTACTAGCCCATTTTACATCAACTTGCTTTAAAAAGTCCTTCATAGGCACTTTCTAGAGTCTTGAGATCCACTATTTTTCACCTTGAGATGTGATGTTACAATTTCTTCCCAACTTGCTAAGATTAGGAAAGCATTTGTTGCCACTCTGAGAATAAACACCTAAACACATTAAAATATTAGACAAGAACCAAGCACAAAATATCAGGAAAGAACCCAGCAGTTCTTATTAAGATGTTCTTGAAATTAACTAAAAATGTATTCCTAGTAAAATGCTGAAGAGCTTGGTAACATATTATAACTTATTATAAAAATTTTTTTTGCCATTAGGAAGTATTTAAAGGATTTATCAGAGATCTGAAGTTCTCACTATTTATACAACACGTCTTAGTCACCATTCCACGCTCCTTAACAGTAAACATTTACCCCCAAAGCATTAAAATGCAATGGCAAAAGTTATTATTGTGCTGATAATTCATCAGGCTTATTCTAATGAGCCTTAAGAGTTCACCTTTAAAGTTCACAGCTGTATGTGCAATGCTACATAGATTACAGACAAATTGCTAGCACTCACCTAGGTAACTCATGCAATATAAATAATACCCTTCAGTTTAAATGTCATTTGTCTCCTAGAGTGCACCCACACGTGCACTATTGAGAAAAAATGCAGTGGAGTTATTTTCCTTCAGTGAAAGATCCTTACCCTGCATGGCACTTTTGTCCAGGTAGTTATTTAAGTTGAACAAAGTATTTCGGGATGCAAGATACTGGATAAAGCGCTGTTGGTGAAGAAAAAGTTGGGAATGTAAATTGTTGTGAGAGTCAAAACATTTGAGCAAGGAAACTACACTTACCTTGTAACCTCTGTCAACAATAGAATTTGGTTAAAAGGGAAAAAATTAGGGGAAAACCTGAAAACACTCATTAACAAAGCCTCTGAAGTCCAAAACTATTTGGCAAAAGTACAGATTTAAATTAATAAAGACATCACTGCCTGTGAATAAAATACGAATAATCCTAGAGGAAGCTGCTTCATTAACTTTGTAGTTTAGAACAGACAAGCTGGAAAACACCAAACAAAAATACCACTTGCATTATCCAAGCTCCCAAAGTTTGCACAACTCTACTGCTGCTGTAGAAGAGGAAGCCAGGCTTAATTACACAGTTTAAAAGTAGTGAATAAGAGTAATGGTTCTGAACTGTGGTGAGCAGCACCACTGGGGTGATAACCACATACTTTTTATATATAATGCAGTGATCTGACTAAATAACATTTAAGTTTTGACAAATAATTGCTGGCTTCATAAATAACACCAGAGTAAGAGACAAACACGTCCAGGTAGCAATGCAGTTTTAAAAGCTTCTCTGCCACTGTCACACACAGATCTCCCGTGATTCTCATTGCTTGACTTGCTTCTTTGTATGTATTTTAGTCCATAAAAGAGAATTATGATAAATATGGCTTAAGGGACTTGCTTTGATCTGAAATGCTCTGCTGCCACAGAATGTAGGGCCTGTTCCTTCACTCTCCGTGGTGGAAATGCACCCTCCTGCCAGGCTGGGCCTGTTGTGCTCTGTAAAGCAGCGTGTGTTAAATGTGTGCAGTCAGGCTTAGGAGAGCACCTGCTCTTGGGAACTGTAATAGAGGGCTTAGCCCAGTAACGAGAAAATCCTTCTCACAGGTACTATTTAAACTGAAATCAATTTAACCTCTCAGTGATTCCCCAACTCGTCACGTACCACCTCATCAGCAACTCCGAGTGCGTTCCCAGCCCACAGCTACGGGGTGAACACAAGTCTACAACACGCAGCTTTGCCTACCAACAGTTCAGGCTCTGTTTTTCTTATTCTGTTTTCCAGCTGACTTATCTGCACATCTTATTACTGCATTCAGAGAGATAGAGAAGCAAAGCAGTAGCAACATGATCAGGAGCAGAACAGTGATATTTGAAATGTGTCTATCCACATATATTTCAAAATAGCTACTGTTCTGAATCTCATTTTAAAAGGGCCAAGGCTAACTCTCAACTAGTCAGATGTCAGGGGTCTTGTGCTGCAAAATGCACAGACAAGAGGAGTTTCACCCAAAATTTCATCTCAAGAAACAGGTAGTATGTTGAAAAAGAAACTGTAAGACAGTGATTGCTCTGGCAACATTTTGCCCCTCTCTTATATTTACTTTATTTACTTTTACTTAAAATAGAAGTCCAACATCTGATTATTTTTTATTTGCTTCAGAAAAAGCCTCTTTTAATGTATTAGGAGAGTGAGGAGTATACTCATGTTCCATCTGAAATTACAGAACTAATGTTCCAGCCACGTTATCTCAGCAGGTGTAAAGGAACTCCTTCTCAAATTCCAAATGCACCCGTTCAAAGCTGAGGGGCAGATTTGGTATTGACATAAAAATTCAACTCTTCTGCCACTGCAAAACACTGTAAGGGTAAACAGATACTGGTTGGTGGCCCACAACTCTAAGTTCTGATTTTTAAAATTTTTTCTATGCTTCAGTTTGTGGTTTGTTTGGTTTTCTTCCTTGCAAGTTTCATTGTGCAGATATGAACTGTATTGGAAAAAGAGAGAATAAACAAGCTGATTTACAGCATTGAGTTTAGCTTTATATTTGTAATAAGTAGTAAATTCCACACAGTGAATTTACTTTGCATTATTCCTTAATTTCAGTCTACTATCTGTTGAAAATACAGCTTAAACAGGTAAATAACCTGAGGGAGTGTTAATGAAGAGCACACTCTGTTTTACAGGTCCTCTCAATCAAGTTCAGAGTGCTGCAGAGAGGAGGCAAGAACAAACGTTTCAGAGCAGTTTAATGGCTGGAAGGTACCTGAGGAGTCATCACTTCAATATTACTGGAGGTCAACAATCATTTCTTAGGTCAATGACTGCACACAGATTTAGGACTGTCACCTGACCAAAGTTTAGCTTTTAATGTAAGGACTGTACAAAGCAGCTACATTTCTAATGCCATGTTACTGAATGGGATGCATTTCATGAATTGTGATGAAATAATTTAAGTGAATGAAATCCAATAGAAACATTTTTCAGAGGAATGTAAACGGCAACAACATCTGAAGGTTCAGCCCATCAGGATCAAATATTCCAGTCACCACGTTTCTCTCCCCTTTAGTACATATTCTCCCTTATCTGTTATAAGGTTGGCTGCACATTTATGGAGGGCTAACAGGACTCTTTGCTGTGCTCTTACTGATAAGCACTATCCTAATGAAGTAAAGCTCATCAGAAGTCTTTCAAGTCTTTACTCTACAAAAGTCACTTATTGTTTCCTCACAGCCCAACCCAGGTACCTGCAGGTAAATTGCAAACTTTGATATATTTTGGTATTGAAACAATTTTTTTTTCTTTGACAAGTACTTGACAGCCACCAGCTGAGGAAAATCAAAGATCTTGGAAAACTGAAGTACATATCTAATGCCTTACAGATTGAGACAATTTTTTAAAAGCCATAAAAGAGACCTTAACAGAACTAATCGTGTCTTACCTCGTTTCCATACATCATGAGGTGGTGTGTTGTAATTAGAGCTTTGAACACTACAACCCAGCTACTGTTTGCAGTTCTCTCAAAGAGTGTGTCTGCCAACTGTGGAATATTCACATTCATTTCATTTGTGCACTGTATTAGATCTAAATTAAAGGGGAGAAAAGCATAACAATGAGTTACGTGCTCAAGGAGGATCAACATGTTATTTTGTGTTTTTACACTGAGAATTCTTACTGGAAGCATTCACTTCAGTTCTTTGTTTAAGAAATAATTGAGCTCTTTTAGACTCCTTCCTCAAATTCACTACACTTCACTGAAGGACTCCAAGTAGGAACTTCAAAGGCATTTCAATAATTTTATGGAGTCCCAATACTTCATCACAAATAACTTGTCGCATTAGAAACCCAACAGAGCCCAAATTAGCGTTTGAAAGCCAGTGCAGACTTTCTAGGTGCTCAATGCCTGAGCAAAATGTAACCAAAAAAATCAAAAACTAAGAAGCAAAGAAAAGCTGAGACATCCACACCTCCTGGGACCAACAAGCAGTAAGTTCTTAGCCACTCCAACCCAAGCCTGAGTACTGACAAACATGACAGCAAATGAGATGCTGCAGACCTGTAAAATAAACCTCCTTTCTGTAAGAATTAAGAGCAAGAACTTGCATCTACACACCTTTCCACTTAGCTAAAAAAAACCTAATCACCAACCTACTGACTATTTTGTGGTGAATCATGGCAGGTGTCAGGCTTTTGTATAAAAAAAGCTCTTTGTGTCCAAGACTGATAACAAACTCGACAGTAGAACATTAACTTTGGGGGTCAGACACAGAGCTTCAAGCCTCTGCCTGAGTATTGGTACAAACTGGCCCAGGCTCCAGCAGACACAGGGGAAAGCACCTGCCTGAGAAGAGAGCAAAGAACTGAATCCAGGACTGCTCTAAACCCCTCAAGACATGCACATCAGACATTTATTCTCTCTCTGTACTAAATTTGGCTCAGGTGTGATCAAAGTACACCCTAAGGACTGGGCAAGGCCAGTAAAACAAACATCTGGTTTGAAAAGCTTCCTTTGTGGCCTCTCCTTTAAGCCAAGCCTGTGAGCAGACCCTTGGTAGCAGAGCCCATTGCTGCTTGTGTGGCTTGTCTGGATAAGGACCTGAGGAAAGTGGCTGGGAAACTGGGAAACAACTGAATTCCAAGGAGTTGGCACCACTGAAACTGCTCTGTCTTATAAGCAGTATGTAGAGGACAGACTACATTATCATAAGCAATTTAAACATGAACTTAAGAGCTCACACATCGATAGACAAAATACCTCATAGAAATATTACACTCAGAATTTATAACTGTTCTAATGCACAGAATATATTATAGATGTATCTTAATTAAAGATCAGTTTATTAGGAACAAAAAGTCCTTTGATTAAGGATCACTGTTTAAAATAATTTAATAACCAGAGTAATTTTAACAGGGTAAAGAATTTTAGATATTATCTTGTCCAGGTAGAAAGCTATAAAATGGAAATTAGAGTAAGTTACTAATTTCACACTGATGTCAAAGGCTTCCAAACATATACAAAACACTAAAGCTGGGATGAAAACTTTCACCCTTATTAGTAACACACAAACATGCTGAAATAACTGCACAAAAACAAGAGCCCTGAAGTTTTAAGCAAGCTGTACATCAAAATGTTATTGCTGAGTAGTGTTAAAATAGTCCAATATTTACAAACGTGAAGTTTCTCAAAAAACAACCCATTTGGTAGACACTGCTCATGGCTGTATCATCATCAGATCCTCTGTCATATTAAAAAGTACTAAGTAGTTGTCTCAAAACACATTAAGGCAAGTTTGTCTTCCTAAACACAATCAGTTTATCAGCACACATTATAGACAGACATGGAAATGCCAAGCAAGCACCAGTGCCTGAAGTGTCTGTAACCAGCACAGAAATGTCACAGGACTGTTACAAGTCCTACTCTCAGTTTATAAAAACCAAACAACCAAAAAAACAACCAACAAGAAAGCCCCAAACTCTATAAAGAGCAATACCTAAAACACCACCAGGTAACAGTTAAAGAAATTCTATTGATCTGCTGAGGTCAAAGACCACACAGCCTATGGAAAATATTATTTCTGCACAAAGTCCTTTTCCTTCACACAACCACTAAGTCAGATGTTTCACTGAAGATTTTTCAATATTAAGTGTGCATATTAATAATAGATGAAACTGGGAGGGAAGATCCTGGTTAAGACCCAAACCCTTTCTACTCTCCAGTCCGGTTAGCCAAGCTATTTTCACTCCTACTTGCCAGCACTCTCCACATCTGGGAGATCCCTTGACAAAGGTTGCTACTGAGTGTTCTCACAGTGTTGTTCAGGCACAGTGTGACAGGAATCCTGCTGTTAGCACCTGTACCTAATGCTGTAGAGCTGATGACCTCTCCTGAAGCCCCATATCCATAAAAAAAGCTTTGGCTTGTCTTGCCAGCACAAGTTCACTTCCACAACAAGCCATGCCACTTAACACAGCCCTGATCTTTCATTCCAAAATCTCCTTCAACACACAAACACATAAGCCACAGTTGCCAACACCAAAGAACACATGCTTAGACAAACAAAACATCTCTAAAATGCTAAACTAAGAAAAAAATCTCTTATAGGCCAAAATTGGACTTTTTCTTAAGAGTGTGTTGCAAAAGCACAAGTTTCAAAAGACTCTCTAATAAACCTACTCAGGGTAACTCTTTAAATTAATACTTTACAGCCAGCAATAAAAAAAAAAGCTGGCATCACATTTCAATTCTACCAACTGCAATACAGAAAAAGAAAAGCAAGTGCCTTTTCTCTAATACGATTCTTCTGAGCCTGCAATAGGAATATCTACACAGAAACAACTGTACGGATCTGTTACAGCTGGGGGCACAGGAGGAAAAGGTTATAAAACCCAAACATCTGGGAGTGTAAGGAACACATGCACCTGAGAGACTGACAGCTGGGCAACTGTAAATGGGTGTTGGCAGCACAAACTGGAATGAAATGCAGAGGGTGAGTGATGCTCATTTTCTTATCGCACCGCTTTTATATAAACACTTCACAACTCACAGCGTTTTGCCAATTACCCAGAGGAATCATTGCAACTGCAAGGGAAGCTGTGGTGCTATTTCTAGAATGGAATTTAGAAACATGTTAACATCACACAGGGAAAAAAAAAAGAAAAAAGAAAAAAAAAATCAGCTTTAAACCAGAAGAGCACCATAGGGGTTTTCAAGCAGCCTGGAAGAGCTGTGGAAATCTTACTGCCTAGAAGAGTAGTGAGGATTTCTCTTCCACAGCTCATCTGAAATACTGGCACATCATCTATGAAACTATACAGCTCTTTGGAGAGCAGCATGCAAAAATCCAGATATAAAAAAACCCCAACCCAACCCAAAATATACATATAACAGGTTTTTGGAAAATTCTCAGCCAGGCGTTAACAAAAACTGACATATTGTTCAACTTTCAAGGAAGTCATAACTTTCTTGAGTCAGGAATCTCTCTCAAGAGAACTGTAAATACATAGGTTAAAGGCAACCATAATGGTTTAATATTCACATATTTCTTCCATTTTGTCACAGGACAGAAACTGCTCTAAGACAGATGTAAGAATTAAGATTACTTTCCTCAGTCACACAGTCTTGAAAAAAAAAATCATTTCCTTTTTGAAAGTTGCACCATAGATAACATATTAGAAAAAGATATAGTATCAGAGCCACTTCAGCAAACTTTCTCAGTGTAGACAAGGAGTGCAACAGTTCCTGCTGAAAGACTTAAAAGATAGCACCTGACTGATACAAATATTTTTATGCTCATGTGCTCTTACAATGCACAGTTGAGAGCAATCTTTTTAAGTTTCAGTTATGTAATAACAGCCAAATCTGAACTTCCAGTCACTTTACCAGAAGAAAGCAATTCAGCTATTCTGTCCCACTTCCCCACTAGACAAGGATACAGGACAGACAGCCCATAAAGTTTTTTTAAAAAGCTAAACATAAACCCTTATTGATAGATTCCAACGATATTAACTCTTTTTTTTGTTCAAGTTAAATTTCCTCCATTATTGTATTGAAAAGCTTCAGTGATTACTAAAGGACTTCAAATTAAACACAGCTACCTGTCTGTGTAAAGGGTTCAAGAAAATTTCTTTGTTCTGTAAGACAACTTACACATCCCTGCAAGAACCTCACTGCCTCAGCATCTACCTGAAAGTCAAGAGCTCTGCTGGCCAAAAGGGAGAATGGGCAGGTACAAAATCAACCCCAAACTCTGACAGTCATAATGTGATATTATTGGCAAAACTTATAGTTTGTGATGGTTTGGTGGAGACCTGAACTTTCTCCTAAAACAACAGGCTTTAAGAGACTAATTCTGTTCAATAATACAATCATATACCTGAATTACCACTTGTAACAAGATTTCCAAAGCTTATGTATGTATAGGAGTTTTAAGTTTAAATGAGTAACTAAGTACTTTCCCCTTCCCTGTTCTTAAGTGGACTGTATCCAAGTTAAGCAGGAGTTGCTTTTTCCATTATTCCTGTGTTCATTGAAAAGTTTAAGATGCAATTGATTTAGGGGTTTGAATTTTTCTAAATTTCAATCTACACACAAGTCTACTCTGCCAATTACCAACTTGGCTACAGCTTTATTTTATCTTTTTTTTTGTTATGACTCTTCAGTAGTTAGACAAGAAGAGGTTTGTCTCCAAAAGTGTAACAGCCCCACTCCACTGCAAACCAGCCTCAGGAGGCTGAGGGCAGTGAGAGAACCCACACTGGGAAAGATGAGACAAGACCTTCAGGTGCTCCACTAAGAGGAAAGATCAGCCTCTATATGACATTTTACATTATCCGAAAATATTACAAAATACTACAGAAATAGATCTGCTGACTTATTTAGGACACCGTGACCTACTTTAAAAGGTAAATCCCCAAGTATTCCCATTGACATTGCTTAGGTTTTGGGGATGGGTTTTTTGTGGGTGTTTTTTCACTCTTCAAGAAAAATATGACTATACTACTCAACAATTAGCAGTCAGACAAACCCCAAGACTCTTAAATACTAGTTCACACACTGCATATATAACATTTTCCTGTAAAAACCCATGTTGTCAGATCACAGTTTTTCTTGCTGAGAAAACTTGGCAATAAGGGGATGTTCAGAACTAATCTGAACAGAGTGCACAAACTGATACCCCTCCACAATCCCTGATACAACTACAGCAACTCTCAGAAAAAATGTTCTTGTTAAAGCTTTTTCCTGAGCAGCAATTACGAACAATACCAGATGGTGTATCATTTTGAATGACACGCACATGTAGTGACCAGGGTACAACTACCAGTGTTTTACATTAAATCCAAGCTACATTTTTGTTCAAAATTTACTTAAATTGGGAAGTATTTGCCTGTATCTTGGAAAACATATACTGTGTGATTTTTTTCAGAGATTATAATATTTAATATTTACCTGCTCACATTTAATAAAAGGAAGTCTTGCAAAAATTGTGAAAAATTAAGAAGTGCCACTGCAAGGGTTGCAGATGTTTGAAAAGCAATGCCTAGGTATGCTCAGTGAAGACTGGAGCATGTTCATTGCGATTTTTTTTAACCCCTTACAGACATATTTGAGGTACCATATTTCACATCTTTTTTTTTCCCTACCCCACCAAAGCATTCCTGTATTTCAAACACCAGCCACAAGAAGATTTTTGTTTGTCTTAGACCAAAGTCTGAGCAAATGAATTACACCAGAACACAGAAATCACAGGAGGGGAGGACCTTCAGGAGTTTGAGTGACAGCTCTAAACAGGTTTAGATCAAAAGACATTCAGAGGAGCTTGTTAGTCAAAAAGCAATCTCAGTTTATGTTATTCTCAAGAATTTTTCCATGTTTCCATTTTCTTATTTTTTGGGGGGTGACTTTTGGTAGATGACATTATTTTAAGGATATTTTCAAACCACACACTACCTCTTTTAAGATTCAGAAGCTTTCAAACTATTGAGCAAACTGTCACCACTTTCTGGCTTCCTGTTATGTTGGCATTTCTGGACTCAAAGGGTTACCTCATTAACTTGTTCTACCACAGGCAGAACACAAGACAAGATAAAGTAAGGTAATGCAAAAAGGTGTCTTTAAAAAAGAAATTGTCAGTTACCCAGGTTTAAAGCTTTTAATTTCAACACAATAGCTGCAATATTCACTACTGTAGTTGGATCCCACCTATTCAGATCAGTGACAAATGACAAATACATTTGGTTATTTTTAACTGTTTGATCCACATCGAAAGGTCTCACACAAGTCTGCATGAACAGACGAGTGTCACAGCGTCACACACAGCCAAACTACTCTCAAACCATACAAAACCCACAGTGCTTCCTCCGAGAGCCTGAACAGCAGACTTCCCTTTAGTGCCTTCAACTTGCACCAGGGCTGCAAAACTACCTGCCAGCCTCTGAAGAAACGGGCGAAAGGCTTTACGTCTTTATCCCTCTCCCTAATGGAAACGCACACTTATTTCGCTTTTACTAGCCGGGGAACGGGTGCGCTGCGCAACCAGCAAGGTTTGAAGCACTCAGTGCCCTTCGGAGCAAACAGTAACTCCAATTGCTATGCTGTTATCAAAACCTGAAGGGAAGCAACACCACTGATAGTTTCGTAGACTTCAAGGGTAACTTTCTGCACCTTTTTGTACCCAGCAAGGGGTTTTAACATATTAAATTTATCAGCGGCAACATACTCTCATCGAGGAAAAATCCACTGGTCCACCTACGCCCTTCCCTTTACCTCGCTCCTAATCTTTACACCTCGTTTCACGAGCCGCAAGACAAAACGCTATGATATTTCGGGAAATGACAAATATTTAACCGGCTACAGTCCAGCGGATGCACAGAAGGACAGAACAATGCTTTAAAAACCTGCATTCTGGCTCACAGCAATAAACCCACCTTTTCCCCAGGTGCCGGATTAACAAGCACCACCGTAGCCAGCGCACACGAGCTAAGAACCTCTCACCGGGAAGAGCTAGTGAGGTTGGAATATTTTTGCTTCCCGGGCGCCACAGGGCGTTACAAACCTCACTCCCTCCACGTGGAAAATAAGTTCTGGAGCTCACAGCACTCAGGTCCACCCAGATTTACACGCCACCCCCCACCCCTCCCCAGGTGCGAGCGGCCGGCTCTGCGGGAAGCCACCCGCAGCCCCAGGGCAGCAAAGCCACCCCGGAGCTCCAACCCCGGCCCCGCCGCCGGGTCCTACTCACAGTCCAGGTGCTTCTTCTTGGGGCCCATCACCTCGTGGGTCGTCGCCTTGCACACAGCCTTGGCCACGGCCGAGCCGGTCACGCTGTGCTGCGCCGCCGTGATGCGGTCGGTGATCGACTGCCCCGACATCATCGCCGCGGCCCTGCCGGCGGCTCCCCCGCGGTCCCCCCAACGAGGCCGGGGCGGCGGCTCCCCCGCAAGGCCGGGGGCGAGCGCAGCCTCCCGGGGGGAGAGCGCCGGCGGCTCCCTCCGGCGGGAGCGCTCGCCGGGCTCCGCCTCAGCGGCTCCTCTCGGCCGCCGCCGCTGCCACGGGGGCTCTTCCCGCTGCTCCGCGCTGCGGCGGCGGTGCTCCCTCGGCTCCCAGCGGCGGCGATCCCCCGGCTCCCGGCGGCGGTGCTCCCGCTGCTCCCCGGCGGCGCTCGGCGCTGCCGCTGCTCCTCCCGCGGGTGCGCCCCGGCTTTCCCTTTCACATTTGCGCTCGCAGACAAAATGGCGGCGGCCGCGGCGTCAGGTGACCGCGCGCCCGCCCCGCTCCCGCCCCGCCGCCCCTGAGCGCGGCCCGACCCCGGCGGGAATGGGGCTGGAGAGGGGCCGGAGCCCGGCGGGAATGGGGCAGGATCCGGCGGGAGTGGGGCCGCAGCCCGACCGGAGCGGGGCCGCCCCTCCCGCCCGGCCTCAGGTGTCCCGCGGGCGGCGGGGACACCCCCTCCTCTCCAGGTAGCGGCCGGGTCACGGAGTCAGTGAGGTTGGAAAAGGCCACGGAGGTCGTCGAGTCCGACCTGTGACCGAACACCACCGTGTCAACCAGACCGTGGCACTGAGTGCCACATCCAGTCTTTCCTTACGCGCCTCCAGGCACGGTGACTCCACCACCTGCCCGAGCAGCTCATTCCAATGTCCAACCACCCTTCTGTGTGAAGGAATTCTTCCTAATGCCCAGCCTAAACCTCCACTGGCACAGCTGGAGACCATGCCCTCTTGTCCTGTCGTTGGTCGCCAAACCCCACTTGGCAACAACCTCCTGTCGGAGTTGCCCGACAGCTCTTTGTTCTGTGTGTGGGTGTGACATTAAAAATAAAACCTGCCCGGCCCTCACAGCCTGTCCGGCAGTGAGAGAAGCACCGACGGCAGAGCCTGGGGTTGGGCTGTCGAGGGGTGACAGAGGGAATGATCAAACAGGGCTTGAGGTTGGATTTTCATCACAGACTTATAGAACGGCCTGGGTTGGAGGGGACCTTAAAGACCACTTAGTTCCACCCCCCTGCCATGGGCAGGGACACCCTCTGGTAGACCAGGTTCTACTAGATTTTGGTGGGATGAGTTTTCCTGGGGAGCCCAGTGCAGCACCATCAGTCTGCAGGGAGGCTGAGGTGTGGAAGGACCTCATGTAGGGAAACTCCCTCACAAGCTGCAGAGAAAGAATAAAAGCTCCTCAGAAGACTTTTCTCTTGCAGGCTTTGATTGCAGAAGCAACATTTGGAAAAAAAGAGCCCAATCTCCTCTGCTGAGCCTGTTTCATGGGACTAGAGATTCATTTAGGTCGGAAAAGACCCCTAAGCTCATGGAGTCCAACCATCAACCTGGCACTGCCAAGCCCAACTACATCTCCAAGCGCCACATCTACATGTCTTTAAATCCCTCCAGGGCTGGTGACTCCACCACTGCCCTGCAGAGCCTGGTCCTGGTGAAGAATTTTTTTCCTAATATACAATCCAAACCTCCCCTGGCACAACTTGAGGCCATTTCTTGTTGTCCTATCACTTGTTACTTGTGCAAAGAGACTGCCTCCCAGCCTGCTACCAAACTGTAGCTGAACCACTGGTGGATTCTCAACATCTTTGCAGCTATTGACATCCAGCACAGCCCTATGGGGGCTGCCATGGGGAAAACTAATTCCATCCCAGCCAAACCTTATACACTGAGGAAAAAACTGCAGCATCACTACTACTCAGTCAGAACACTCTTCCCAGGCCATTCCACAGAAGAATGTTTTTTTAACTTCTGCATTTATAGTACATTAATGTAAGCGTGAACACTCATACAAATAAAAGATGGAACACGGCAATAGTTATTTTAGGTTACAACTTTGAAGTAAACCCACAAAAAGTAAGAGTAATAAGGAGGCTGTTGAATATGAGTGTTATAAACAAGAATCTAGCAGCTTCTGACAGTCAAGTCATATTTTAGGGTACTGATTAAAGCTCTATTGCTTACATTATCCCTAGAGTGAGATGCTCCACAAATATGTGGGCTAGACACACACCCAACCGTCTGCTATAGCAATACATGTATAAAAGCAGTAAAGCAGGAAAACATTCCCTAGATGTACTTGGGCACCTTTTCTCCTTCCACAGCATGTAAGGGTTTTGTTTGGGCAGGACCAGGATGTTTAGCCAATCTGGTGTTAAACAGCCAAGTGGCTTCTGCTAAATTTATATCCCACTGCTTCCATGCCCCACTGTCCAACACTGTCAGCTTAGTCTTTAATGGCCCATTATGTCTCTTACTCTTTCAGGGTGCTTATGGGTAATAGGGGGTGTGATGTACCCACTCAGTGATGTGTTTTTTAGCCCAGGAGTTCGTGAGATTATTTTGGAAATGAGTCCCACTGTCAGATTCAATTCTTTCAGGGGTACCATGTCACCACAAAATGTGCCTGTCAAGGCCTAGGATGGTGCTTCATGGCTTACAGGGTGTGTTTGTTTGAGGGCTGTTATGGGGAAAATTAAGTCCATTCCAGTCTGACCCGATACAGGTTTAAAGAGAACAACAAAGGCAAGCAGGGTCTCTTTCAATGCCATTGAAAAGCACAATGACACTGAACAAATATTAGTGGTCCTATGAACAGGGTGGGTAACGTTGTGAATGAAGGATTTCTATAGCCCTAAGGGCATAAATGCATTAAAACGTGGTCACTGTTATTAAAATATTGAACATTTCCTGTGCTGGAAAAAGTTACAAACTCTTTAGTCTGGCTGGCAGCAGGCAGTTTCCAGCTGCCTTATTTTTGTTTTAAGGCTTGTAGTTTCTGGGAAAAAAAAGATCTTGAATCTTCAAAGCCTGAGGAAACATCAAAACAGTAAGAAAAGAAGAGATGGAAAGATTAAATACACATTACATATGTCTACATCTCTTAGGGCCTGTCTAAACAGGGAAGCTGTTTTGCAATAAAGGAGAGTATGAGCTGAAGCACAGTGGCTATTCTGTGTTAATTCCTTCCCCAGTAGGGACTCACTTATTTTATTTTGTATTAGGAAGCCTAAATTTCACATAAAATGAGTTGAGTTTTTCCCATTACCATGGCTCTGTCTTTACTTGATGTGCTACTCAGGCCCAAATATGAGTTCAAATGTCCCTCTTCAGTCAGTGCATTGGCTTGCTCTGGGTTCAAGCCATCCTGTGCACAGCATGGATGGCTGCAGGTAGAATCACAGAGTCATTTAGGTTGGAAAGACCTTTAAGATCATTAATTCCAACCACTAATCCAGCACTGCCAAGTTCACCACTAAACCATGTCCCTAAGTACCACTCTACATGTCTTTTAAACACCTTAAGGGATAGTGAGTCCTCCACTGCGGATATTTTCCTAATATCCACTCTAAATCTCGCCCAGCACAACTTGAGGCTATTTCCTCTTGTCCTGTCCCTTGTTACTTTGTAGAAGAGACTGCCCTTCAGTCTAATGGAACAAGTCTTTCTCTTGGCCACTCTCCTGCATCTATGCTTTACTTCCTTTTTGTAAAGATGAAAGCTGGAAATTATATGTGCAGTTTACCTCTCATTCACTTTGCTGCCCTCTGTTTACTGTAGGGCAGGTAATGAGGGAATTGTAGTCCAGGCATGGATGCACATAAATAGTGCTGGGGGGTAGTGGCAGTGGAGGCAATGGATGTTTCTGGGCTTCTGCCATGACTGAATGACACAGATGGTTTTCCAGGGAAATGAGTATTTTAGTAATGAGTAGTGAATACGCTTCGGGCTGACTGCACCTACAGCCCTGGGAATGCAAACAGTTTAGCAGCAGGTTTGTCAATAAATACCATCTGCTCAACAGCACTGAGTCCAAAATACTGCAGAACCTACCTTACTGGTGGCTGCTGTTTTGCTGATTTTTGTAAATACTGTGATTGTGATCTAAAATCACAAAACTAAATTTAATCAGACTTGTTCAATCCCAGTTTAAACTCAGGAGAGATAAACTGTTGTCATTAGCATTTCTCATGGTGGCCAGTAAGACACCTGAACGGAAGGGTGAGCTGTAAGCAAAGCTGCTTCTCTCGCAGTTCAGGCCACAGAGGTGTCTGAGGAACACCTCGATTCCACGGTGGCCTGCAAGGAAAGGAAACACAACTCCCAAGCAGCTGTGGCAGTGGAAGAGCTGGAGTTCCTGGAGGCTGCAATGGGGGCTTGATGCGGATTTTCTAACTCAGCACTCCAGTCACCAAAAATGAGTGAATCCCTGCCCCAGCCTTTCTCCCTGCAGGGGCACTGAGAGTCCTTTCTACTTGGCTCCCTGTTTTCTGTGAGTTTTGCCAAAGCAGAGTGACTTGGGGATCTTTATTGCTGGCAGGTGTGGTTGAAGTTGGCAACTGGATGTGGAGGTTTCTGGAAGAGAGACAAGTCATCAACATCATCCAAAAAGCCAGAGTGAGTTTCAGTGTTAGTTAACTAATTCTTATCTGAAGAGAGAGATGAGAGAAAAAAGCTCCACGTATTGTTGAACAACTTGGATTCATGAGCACCATATTTAGTCTCCTTTAAAGATCGTTATTCTCTCTGAGGTGTAAGACGTTGATAAAAGGTTGAGCTTCAGAACTGGGTCTCCCTACAGCTGAACTCATCCAAACCTTGCATAGCTGCAAAATATGAGAAGATCAGATCATGAGCCCCCTTCCTCCAGGACCTCAACTCAATAGGTGCTGTGTTGTGATCAGGTTTGCCTCAGGGCTGGTTTTGGAGCCCACAAGATGCAAACATTGGCCACAACCCCTGTGGCCTTTAAGCCCCTTTTCCAAGAGCCCTGCAGACATGAAATTTGTGCTCAACAGTGTAGGACTGCTAAAAGCCACATGCTGGTTTTCTCCTCTCCTGTCACACGAGGGTAGGTCACACTTCCTCTGCCCCTTCCTTTCATCCAGCCCCCACCGAGGAGCAGTGGCCTGGGCAGGGCTTGGCACCAGGAGCCCTCCCTCCAGCTCTCAGCCATCTCCAGCTTCTGCCTCTCAAACCTCACTGCTGATGAGGTTTGAACTTTTGAGTTGCTGACTTTGCATAGAGAAGGGAGAAAAGAAAGAGGAAAAGAAAGAAGAGGAAGGAAAAACTAAGCTGGAGTTATGCCACAATTACAAAAGTGCTGGGAGGCAGAAAGGCAGGAGCCCTGTGGCTCCCACTGCGGCAGTTGGCTGCCGTTCCTGCCCCTAGGCTCATCGTGTTCCCTGCAGGTGTATGGCTGTCAATAACAACATGTTTGAGAAGATTTCTGCATTATTTCTGAAGTACTTCCCTGTAAAAGTGTCTCTGTTTGGTTAAGAAGCTGTTCTGGTGCTTACTAAGCATTCAGCCAAGGGTCATGGAAGTCCCCTTTTTCTGACTTCTCTACTTGACATTACAATTCAGTATTGTTTTTTAAAGAGAAAGCAAAATAAATACTGCAATATGATGCAATTGGTGTAATACAATTACTTCAACCTGTCCTGGTTTGGTCTGTTACTTTCTAAGTAGGTTTATGAGAAGGGTTTTTAAAAGCAGGAGCTGAGTGAGGAATCTCATACAAATCCAGGATCCGAAGTTTAGTCTTGGAAGATTAGTCTTGGTTTATGGGGGAGGTCTCTACTCTGGCTTTGGGACTGTCCCAGGGGCAAGCCTTGTTTATTTTACAGAATCCTGTATATGTGTGTGTGTATCTATATATGAGCAGTTTTGATATGGGCAGTCACTGTTGGTGTTAGCAGACGCCTAAAGAAATGTGATTGTCACCCGAGGAAATGGCACTGCTAGCCCTGCTCCAAACATTTCAGAGGGTTTGGGTTGACAGCTGATCAATGTATTCATCCATTGTTTCTGTCACCTTGGAATTCATTTCAGGGGCCTTTCTGTGAGGCTCAGATGTCAGAATGCTAAGACAAGGTGAGATGCAGGTGCTGCAGCCTTGTGCCCGAGGCTGTAACTGCTGATGTTTTGGAAACACCAGAGGTTGCTGCCTGGAGGCCCCTGGGTCAGGAGCAGGAGAGGCATTCCCTGTTCTAACACCGATCATTTTAACCTCAGGCACAATAAACCCTGGAGAAACAAGAAAGCTAAAATCATCAGCCTAATAATAATAAATTATACAAATTGTGGACCAAACTGGATCTGCAATGTTTCCATTCCTACCAAGAAAAAGGAGCATACCTGGCTTGGGGAAGAAGGATCTGGGGGGGCTGGGGGATGCTGATGGGGCTGCACCATGGCAACAGAGGAAGGAGACAGCATAGCCTCCAAAAAAAAATATAACCCTGCCAATAGAAAATAATCTTGTATTAAAGTCAATTTAAAACACTCCTGGAAATTGCATCCCAATGGGCATTATTTTCATACCAAATAAATAAATGGGAACAAAAAATGACGATAAACATGAAACATGTGGCTAAGCAGAAATAAATAGGGACAAAGGTGCAGATGTTTATAAAGGAAAACCTTCCATCTCAGAACATAAAATTCCTAGAGTGTGTCAGTGAAATGGAAGATAAGGGCAAACCAGCACATACATTTTATCTAGAAAGAAAAGGCATGGACAAAGGAGTTAAGGCACTTGTGAGATGCCCTCAAGGCATCTTGCTGTATTACTAAGTGTTCACAAACCTCTGAAAAGCTGATCCTGACAGGGAGAACTAGAATTAGATGCAAACAGTAGAGTTTCAAGTGTTTTGAAACCGAAATGCTTATTCACATTACCTGTCCTTGCTGATGGAACGAGCACCACGTCAATACCATTGAAACATAGTGGTTTCAAAATCATCCAGGTGAGAGATTTTTGTAGGTTTTTTTAATGCAGGACTAATTTCTTTCATACAAATTAAAATAAACCAAATCAAGATAATTGAATTTAGCACTTAGCACAAGCACTAAGAATTTAACCAAAACGGGGTATTTATGGAGATAGCTGAGAACCTCTAGAGACAGATGAGGGGCTGGTCAGAGTGGGGGAAGGAGCATGAGCTGATGGTGGATGGGATGGGGTAAGATGTCTCCTGCCATACCCAACCTGCCTTTCCCACTCATCCTTTCGTCTGTTTTTATGGGGAAATGCTGGATGTAACAACCAGCCCCATGTGCTACAGAACTAATAAATAAACTAGTAAATAATTTTCTGTGGGTTTATGCTTGGGGACTGACTGCGTTCTCCAAGGCTGCAGCACAACTCTGCTGCTTAAAAGACATCAGAGAAGCCACACATTGAGAATGTTCCAACCGCAGGAAAAGCTTGAACAGGAGTTCAGGCTTTATTAAACACCAGCAAATCCACATGAGAGAGAAACATTGAATAAAGAGTGGATTTTCTGGTGTCTAATAAGCCACTGACTCCCATTAAAGTTCTTTCCCAGGGTTTAATTCATTCTCTTGACTCTTTTTTTTTCTCAGCCTGATTACCTGCTTTCACAAAATTTGCAAGACCTTAATATTTTCCAGACATTCAGTCCTTTGAGAGTAAGACGGGCAGTGGGCTCAAGGATTCCTGGGGAGGGGTAGGATGGAGTGTGATCTTACAGGAAAACATGTTGAAAATAAGATCCCATCAGCCTGGCAGGGACGGGAGAAGCTGCTGTGCTGACCATGCAGATGACGGAACGTGGTATTTTTAGACAGTCAACCAAGCAGACAGTGCCATGTCCCTTTCTGCACTCTTCCTTTCTTTTTACACAAGCCATCATCATCCCAGAGGTGACAACTGGTGTACAGAATATCAGCTGTAAAATAGCTGGTTCTCCAACTACACCATCATGTCTATTCAACATCATCCCTTTTCCCACGTGTCTCACCATCCCTGTGCCCTTAAATGCCACAGCACAACTGCAGTCCTGTTTTTGCAAGGGTTCCCCTTCTGTGTATAAAATTAATCAGCAAAAATGGAAAGGGGATACTGGCAACCCCTAATAAATCCCCACTTCTGACAGCTTTTTTCTCTGCTGAATGCAAGTGTGGGATACAATATGCAAGTGCACACACTTTGTAAGTGATGGATGAGGCTTCCATTTCTCACACAGCAGTAGGGTTGGCGTTACAGGGTGATGCAGTCATAGGCAGTGGAAAGAACCGGGCTCTGCAGTATCATGAAAAAGGGGTTTTTGTCTGCAGGTGTCCCTGTGCCCAGCAGAAGATGTGCCAGACCAGATGATGGTGGTTCCTGTGTCCCCTCTTGCATCCTTGGGAAAGCCACAGTGTCCCTGAGTGGGGGGAGCAGCAAAACCCCAGTCAAGAGCAGCCAGCATGAGCGTGGCCACAGCAGGGCTGCCTGTGAATTGAGCTTGTGAAGGAAAAGGCATCACTTTCTCCTCCAGGAGAAGCTGAGAGGGCCATGGGGCTGTGGGAGGGCTGCAGAGGCTGCCAGGCAGCTGGAGTGGGGCTCATTGCAGGCACCATCAGCTGAGCCCACCTTCACAGCAGCGCCACCTGCACCGGACCAGGGTGGGTGCAGAGCTGGTGTCCAACAGGCAGTGGGCTGTGGGTTTGGAGTGGGGGGCAGCTGACTAACCCCAGACCAAGATTGGCTGAGGGCACTGTGTTCCCCTCCATAGATGGGTGTCACTGTGTCTGGGAACACCACAGGGTATGTGGGGAACCGTCCAGCGACTGCAGGAGCCCCTGTGTCACAGGGTGAAAACAACTGCATTAACATGGACAGCTGTCTGCCTGCCTCACAAGGCAAAACACGGTAAAAATAACGACAACGGGGACTGCAAAGCTCCTTGCATGCAAAACTGATAGTGCTGGGAAGCAGAGTCATGGAACAGATGGCCCTGGTGTGGCATGGGGCCCTTCCACCTTAAAGTCTCTGGGTGTTGCCAGGTTCCCACCCTGTGGCAGGAGCATCCAAGCTCAGAGCAGCCCTGTGCCTGGGCACGACCAGATATTGCTGCTTATCTCCTCAGGACAAGGAGCCCAAGGCACTGCAGGGGAGATATTTATACCAAGGCATTTCCAGCTCATTCAGCGCTCACACCTCTGTCTTGCTGCATCCCAGAACGCTGTGACAGCAGCACTGGCCCTGCTGGTGGTGAGGAGCTGCAGAGTTGGTGTCCCCAGCCCCATCCCAGTGCAGCAGCAGTGGCTGGTATGTTGGTACCCACTTCTGGCAAACCAAAACCAATGGCCAATATTGCAGCAAATCCCACAGGCAACACATCTGCCACCAGGGAGCTCTGCACAGGAGGAGATGACAGGGAAAACAGGCATTTCCCTCTCCCCTTCCAAGCCTGTTGGCTCAGTCAGCACAGCGAGCTGCTGGGGTGGGCACAGATTCCCAGGGTTTGGTGTGCACAGGCACAGCAGGGTAAGTACTGGGCAGCCAGGCAGACACAAAGATGGGAACTCTGGTCTTTCTGTAGGAATGGTGCAGCTCCAGGCCAGCCCCCACATGGCTCCGTGTCCCAGTGTGAGAGACAGATGTCTTCTGCTTTTTGAGAATATATACTTACATGAGTCCTCAAGCTATGTGTGTATGCATTATAGAGATAAAAATCTTTTAGACAGGTAGAGGTGTGTTTGTTTTTCAGTTCCAGTACACACTATTTCTCTGGGAGTTCCTCAGGGCTGGGAGTTTCTCGGGTGGGTTGTGAAGTGAAGAATGAGCACACGTGGAAGGTGTCTGACAGCACGAGGCATGGGGAGGAAGAGGTGAGCCCTGCATGCCAGTTGTCCTTGAGCCTCTCCTGTGTGTCTAACTCGGTGTTACAGAAGAGCAACCCACACTAGAAATCCTGTCTTACTTTGGTAAATCCAGGAGTCAGGTTGCTTGGTGTTGGCAGCAGCAGACTGGATGTCATGGACCTTAGCAGTGGGCACTGCAGGGCTAGGAACAGGCAACTGCTGGCAGTGACTTCTACAGTCAATTCAGCATCAGCCAAAACAGCACATGGACTGATTTCATTACCAACCAGTTGATGAAAAATGCTCTTTTTTGAAAAGAAATCCAGGTGAATTTCTTCAACTTGAGGGCCTAAGTCCTGGATTTCCCCTCCATTTTGCACAAAGCTCCACGAGTTACTGCTGGACTTGTTTCCCTCTGCCATGGGCACTCATATGTGAGCAGAGAGCAAGAGGAATACAGCTGAACTTCATCCACTTTAGTACCACCCTAAACAAAATGTGGCCTGTGGTAACAGCATTTTGTTTATTTTTTCTAAAAAACGCCGTCTTCAGCACTGAGGCATAACATCTATTTGGAGACTTCCATGAAAATTATGCCAAACAACAGCTTGAGATTGACCACTTCCCTCTGAAAGGTTTCACAAGATGAGATGGAAGATCAGTCTTTAAGGCAGCAGCAGCAGCTGTTCCTCTTCTCTGCCTTGACAGCAGCAGAGGCTGGATTCTGGGGTTACCTGCAGCCCCAGGTCTTGGCATTGGCTCTCTCTCCCGGATAGCTTTGCCTCGTGATGCTTCCCGAGGCTGGTGTTGCAGATGGGGTGACACCCTTCACTTGTAAGAGAGAAGTAGCAATATATTTATTGAGATAAACCAGTGATTTAACCAAGTTTGATAGTAAATGCAACAGTGGTTTAATAAGATTGAATGGCAAGGTATGCTTGATTATTATCTGCATAGAGGACAGAGCAGCCAGAAGTGTCAGGGAGACCCTCCCAGTGAGACACGAGGTTTAGGAAGGACTGCCTTGTGTTCTAGACTCCTTCCTCAGAGGAGTTTGGGTGCACTGGGATGCAGACTTAGTCCCAGGCTTGGTCAACAGTTTATGTCTAAAGGACTGTGTGTACACAACCAACCCTTCACATCACTTAGCTAAGATTTCAAAGTTTCAGCACACTTATTCCCAATTCACTTACCGAGTATCTGATGTGATAAGGATTCTCTCAGCCTTGAGGAATAACCTTGAGAGGTGTCCCTACTCAAGGGCAGCTCTTGTCCTGCAGCCCACTGCGATGCAGGAGAGCTCAACAGGCCCTGGGCTGCCCACTATTTATGGAGTAAGATGATTGACTTATGCTCATATTTACATACCAGCCGTATTTTGGTTGGCACATGCTCAACTAGTCCTCAGCTGTTGAGCAAGACTTATGACCTTTAACTATTGCATTGTTATCTGTCCTCCCGGAGCCCAAAACCATCACAACCACCACCAGTGGCTGTTGCTTAAGCAGAAAGGGGGGGAGCACACAACCATGGCTGGTTATTCAGAAAAGGCAATCACAGCACTAAGGAGATCCCATGGCAATCGAAAGCCTTTAGTGGGGGCTACTCACTAGCACCAAGCACCTTCTTTCACCAAAGGAGTTTCCCTTTTGTCTCCCCTTCCCTGTTTGGGGTGAACATCAGGTAAGGGTTGTCTCTAGAGCCTTTTGAAGGACAGCTATTTGCATGCTTTCCAAGCCAAAATAAAAGCTAATGTTTTGGGATGTGGAAGTTGTATTTCCCCGAGCTCCCACCCGCTCAGACAGAGAGGTCCTGGGACACCTTGTACCCATCCTAAAACTGCCACCAACCTCCCACCAAAGTGAGATTGAATTTTCTGGAGGCTTCTGGGCTGTAATTTCACAGCGGAAGCAGCAGACAGGCATTGGGCACAGCAGGGCAGGGTTTGTTTTTTGCCCAGCACTGTCTCACCCTGCGTCTTGTGCCTTTCCTTGCTGGGTTTGTCCCTGCCTGCCCTGACCTTGGCCCTTTGTACCGGCAGGGCTGGTGTGGAGGGGAAGCAAGCACCTCCCTGGGGAAGCGGCCAGATTGCAGTTTGACAAACAGGTTGCTCAACCCTGGGTTGGAGTTACTGATCCCATCTCCCGCTGAGCCGCTGCTCAGCAGCACCAGGAAACCTTTGCGTCAACGTTTTCCAGGCAGAGGACTCCGCTTGGCTGCAGTGCAAGTGTCAGAGTTATCAGGGAAATCTGATTTTTAAGTATTTTCTAACCATTCAGAATTCAAAGGGTATTGCGAAAGCAAATCCCAACAGCTGCTGAGATACAATACTTGTAGGCAAGGCTTCCAGCGGAATGAGGCTTTTAGTTCCTCTTCCTGAGGCTGCAGGTTTCCCTCCCCCAGGTACGAGGCTGGGAGTTTCACTTGGGTGCAGGCAGCTGGGTGTATTTTCCTCATGATCCACATGGCAAAAGGAGCTTGCTCAGGGCTTCCAAGCCAAAGCAGCAGCTTATGGATTTGTCAAACAAAGCCAAGGCCCTCATAGTGGACCTGGTGGGCACACACTGAGCCTTTCCTCAGCAGAAGGACCTCAGGGGTTTCCTTGTGCCACAGAGCTCCTTGAAGCTGCCCTTTCCCAGGAAGCAGGATCATAGACACCCATAGCAAAAATAATCCTGATAAACACAAGATGCAATTCATAGAGCCCGTTTCTCTTTCTGGTGGTAGACTTTGGATGCGGGCTGGGACACACCTGCTTCTCTGCCTGTAGAGGTTGTTTTCCTTAGGTGTCTTGGAGCACCTTGGGGACCTGGTGGCATGGGTCAGGCTCTGCTCTCTGGGACAACAGAAAGGTCCTGAGGGTGAGCCTGGCAGTGTCTGCCTGCCCTAGGGAAGCAGAGAGTTAAAGAGTGATGAAAGATCTAAGGCACGATGCTTCGCTGACCTGGCACACTCACTGCTATGGAGTAACGCAGTACAGCTGCAGTTCTGGACTGGAACATCTCTTTCTAGCAAAGGTACAGACTTTGTACTGATCTGCATAAGTGAGTTCAGTGTTGTTCACCCACTTAACCTTTTCTGTGCAGCGTCTCATCTGCAGGATTGAAACAAGCCTCATGGATACAGCTGCTCTTCTCTTTGCTTCAAACTCCTGCACGTCTGTTTCTCACCTCCTCCCAGTGCAGACCAGCCACTCTGTGTGCTCCTCCATCTGTTTTCAGTGAACTGTGGTCAGAAGAGTTAGCAAGAGCTCCTTAGGAGGATTAGCATTATGGTGCCAGTGGAAAAGAATGGTGCTTTTGCTTAGATGCCTCTGTTTTTTGCAGCCACAAATGTACAGGCAACCAAGCATATCTGATGGAATAACACCAAAACACCTCTTTCTCCCAACTCGATCCAGAGAGGCTGGAAACAGTGTGGGCACTGGTGAGAGAAGCACACGGAGATGGGCAAGTCTGCAGTCTGTAATAAAGCTATTTGGTGAACTTTGTGTATCATTTAACAGTCAGAACTGTTTAGAGAAAAGCAAAGTCTGAAGAGGTGTGTGGTTGTTAAAAATGTGCACTTTTTTTGCTATATATAAGCATGGAAAAAAAAATTACTGACATTTCTGGAGTTACTCCAAATTTTGTTTTGGTGCAAAAGTCAGATTCTAGGTCTGCTGATTGTGGAAATCCATCTTTATTTTGTCTCCCTGTCATTTTGTCTTCACATGTCATGCAAGTTTGCTCTTGAGCTGTCTCTGCTGCACTGCTCAGCTCTGCCTGGGAAGAGCCAGGGCCCCCCCTCACCGTCCTCCTCTGCATGAGCACATTCCTTGTGCTGACCAGGCAGAACAGGACGGATTTCCTTCGGTGCCATTTCCTGATGATTTCTGACTAACTGTGGAGGAAGTTAAACCTAAGAAATGATGAATCTTCTGTTTTTGTTTTTGGGGTTTTTTTGGGTTTTTTTGTGTGGTTTTTTTTTTTTTAAATTTATTTTAAAATCACTTTTGAAAAGACATCTTTATTTTTGAACTGTAAACAGCCTGCCTGCTGTTCCGCCACCCGCCTTATCTTCATGGATAAAATATACACCACAGGCCAGATACATTTTCTGCTGGGAAGACCTTACCCTTTTCCGGAAGCTCTTGCCACTGTCAGTATATTGGGCTTGCTAAGTGCTTTGAATGGACATATAACCTAAGATGTGACTGACAAAGGGCCAAGGCCAAGGGCACATCTCTCAGCCTCTGGATTTTTGGGGCCCCAAGGTGCCTGGGCACAGCTCTGTGGATGTCAGGCTGTTTGACAGGAGAAGCAGCAGCAGAAGGAGGCAGGAGACAGCTATCTGTCCCTCCAGTCCTCCTGGGACTGCCTGCACCAGGTCACAGCTGTGTTGGAATAGCAGAGCCCATGGTCAGGCATCTCCTAAGGCCACCCAGTTTTGAAGTGGAACAGCTCAGTGTCTCTGAAACTCCTGCTGTCCACAGGGATCTCAGCTGAATGCCCCAGCAGTGGTGACACCCAAGCCCCACCAGGGCTCCTTTTGGAAACTTTGTGTCCCTTTGCCTGGTAAGCCTGGCTGCTTCCCAAAAGCTGCATTAATAGTGAACAGAGAGACCAAAGAGCTATGGAGACCTCAGGGATTTTGTGAATCCCTGTACTGCTCAATCCTCCAGCTCTCTCTGTAGAGGCTGTACAAAAGGTTGCACTTAAAGCTTGTCCTGAACTTTGATCTGGAAACCTAAAGGCAAAAGCTGAATTTGCCTTCTAGCACCTCCTCAAGCACTTGCAGACTCCTACCAGCGTTACCTCCATTTGATGTCTTGCCTTTTGCATTGTTGGAAATGCTCTGTGCCTTCCCACAGAAAACCAAGGTGCTGGCAGAGCAATATTCTGGAGTATGTGACAGAATGAATGCTATATGGGAGGGATCTGCAGTTTTTCCCTTGTGGGGAAAAATACAGAGCAGGTTTTCCCCCTCTCTATGTGCTGCTCATGTGGGGAAGGACAATAAGAAATGACAACAGCAGTAGCAAAACCAAGCATCTGGAGGTAATGGCATAGTCGGAGCCAATTCCAAGGAACTGAGCTCCTGGACAAAAAACTGAGCATTTTTTACTGAAGAAACAAACTGAACTGCAAGAACCACCACAAACACATGCAAAGAAAGCACCCCCAAACTGCACTAAGCTTGAAAGACCTCAGTGAGAGCCCACCAGAGAGCAAGGGCTTTTCAGGCTCTTACACAGTGATGGATTTGCCAATGCTGAGATCCCCAAGCTGTCAGGGCAGCGACGTTGGGACTGTATAACAATGAGCTTATGCTAAAATCGGATGTGAAAGGAAAATCAAATATCAAAGCAGAACAAAACAGGACAGTGAATGAAAGGTTGGGTCGCTCCCTGCTTGGTCCTGCATTACAACAGGGCCTGGGATCAGCTCCCCAGGTGGGGAGGGGCTGAGCCTCTGCCAGCTGCATCCTTTGTTTGCACTGGATGTGGTACCCTGGCACCCAGTGTGCTCCATGAATATGTATAACCATGGAGCCAAGTCCCTCTATGCTCTCTGCCCTAAACAACTGGAAGAGGAGCTGCAGATGCTGTTTGATGGGGAAATGCAGATCTTTAGACCTGTCAAAACACAGCATGCAGCCTGCATAAGTTGCTGGCAAAAACTCAGGATTAAGACCCCACAAACTTAGTGTTGTCTCTGCTGCTGCCACTGGCCTGGGGGGAGTCACTGTCCTGCAAAGCTCGCATGATAAATCAGAAATAAAATATGGGTCCTTTGCCAAAGCTCTTAAGAGATTTCCTGGAGGTAAATGAGATATCACCACTGTGGCCCAAGACCTGTATCCTTGTGTTGATAAAGTCCCCAGTGTAGGCAGGATTATGCAGGAATGCCCATTTTTAAGACGATTGCTCTCTTGAGCATCTCTGGCTAAAAAAACACTAAAGCAATTGCACTCTTAACCAAAAGAGCTGAAGAAACAAAAAGCACTGGGGCAGTAGGTTGGATATTAGGAAAAGGTTCTTCACCCAGAGGATGGCTGGAACAGGCTCCCCAGGGAAGTGGTCATGGCACCAAGCCTGCCAGGGGGTGTTTGAACAGCACTCTCAGGCACATGGTGGGATTCTTGGGGCTGTCCTGTGCAGGGCCAGGAGTTGAGCTTTGATGAACCTTGGGGTCTCTTCTGCCTCAGGGTATATTGTATGCTTCTATGATAGGGAATTACTGCTTTTTCGGGGGGGGGGGGTGTGTTTCACACCCCATGAAGATAATCTGTTTTGGGTACCTGACTGGC